GTGAGTGCGCTTAAAAGCTACGACCACCATGCTTCCCCGGCAAGTATAGCTTCAATACCGACGATCTCTGATGATGCATCCTGTGGAATGTCAAAGCGTTAAGGACTTTTCTGTACAGCGAAGCTAGCTAAGTTGCTTTCTAATTGATAACGCTATTAGAAAGCTATAATAATCACTTACCTCTATATAGGGACTGGCTATACACCGTGACATAATGATATTTGATTTTCGCCATTTTGGCGCTGACAGCAGAAGTGAACGTCCACGGAACTAATAATACAGAAAGTCAGTGTGACAAAATAATCTATAAAAATTCTATACACAGGCCTTCAATCTGCGCGGCCAGTCGTCTATCGCAGCACGAACGAGGCCCACGTCAATATCGGCGGCTGCCTTAATCAAGGATGTTTTGAGTGACTCCAAATTGGGATGAGGCTTTGAGCACGCCTTTTCCTCCAAGTGTTGCCATATCTTGTAATCTAACGGATTCAAATCTGGACTGGAGGAGGGCCAGTCTTCGTGCCGGATGAAGTCGATTTCACGCGCCGCCAGCCAGTCTTGTGTGCTCTTCGCTCTATGAGCTGGCGCCGAATCTTGTTGGAATACCCAGTGCCTGTTATTGAACATGGTATGAGAAACAGGTTCCACAAGGTTCGTCAGGACTGTATTTTGATACACAACTGCATTCGTTTTTACACCTTTCTCACAAAAATGTACCTCTGTTAAGCCCCAATAAGAAACTCCCAACCAACTCGTTGGACACGCGGAATACGGTTGCTCGCTTCTTCACTACTGTGTGCGTACACCTTATCATTTTGTTTGTTGTAGCTCTCTAAAAATTTTTTCATCCGAAAAAAGAATTTCCCGATATTTTTTTCCCACGTACCGCTTCAACAAAGCGCGGCATCTCTTCAGTCTCAGGTCCATTAGACGAGCATTCAAACGATGTCCTGTTTCTTCGATAAGCCCGAAGCCCTAAGTCTTCATTTAACACCCTTTTCACCGTGGTTCTGCTTAACCCCATCTGAAGGGCCAACAGTTTCTGCTTACGTTTGGGATTTATTTGAATTCGCGCCTTCACAGCTTTTAATCACTGCTGGAGTCCTAACAGACCTAGGGCGACCACTTCTTGACCTGTCATCTACACTAGAGTCTTCATTGTATCGTTTGATGGTACGATAAACGAATCTTTTGGTTATATTCAAATTTTTCAGTATGTCAAAAATTTGAATTGGCGCGTAACGATGCAACGCAATAACTACAACACGGTCTTCTTTAAGCGTCCACTCCATATTTAAAAATGAGTAAAATTCTAAAAAGTATAGTTTTATTTTCATGAACAATTCGAAATTCGAATTCAATAAACTTTTTTGTGGCCAGCATTCTAAAAGTTTTTACTGTGTGACAATACTTATGACCTGACTAGGTATATTAGTATTATAGTTGTAGCACGAATGGGTCGCCTCGACCGGGGAAGGACCACGCTCTCACAGAATACCAGCGTAAAATAGAAACTTAACGCTGCAATGTTTAGTATGGTGAGTGTACAGAACCGGATACCCTTTTTACTGGAAAAGAGGCATTCCATCTTAGTCCTCACGGGTGACGACGCTGCTGCATTTTCATTCTTTATTGAGGATACATGTAGATGTCTATGGGTCACAGCAACAACTTACCATCAGGTGGAGACAGTGTGCTCGTTTGTCACCCTATCCTATAAAAAAAATCGAACTGGATTAAATTTAGTAGCCCTCAATCCGAGACAACTTCAGACACAAGTTTGTCCCGATACTCAGCGACATTTTCCCGAAAAATATTGGCACGGCCGGTGCCGGTGCTGTCGTCTGCATAGCAATGAATGTTACCGGTTTGCAACATATAATTGATATGCAGAAGAAACAGCGTTGGTGATAACACGCAGCATTGTGGAACACCAGCGCTAATAGGCTTGTGATCAGGGATGTTAAGAATGTCATATTTTTCACATTGCGAATGCGAATTTTCGAGGTGCAAATGTGCGAATGCGAATGTTTAGGAATACATAGGCTGCACTAAAAGTATCGGGAATGGAATATTTCCACTGTTCCGGTCATATTAAAATCTTTTTAATTGAAAACTCCTTGATTTTTTATAAAAATCTAATACCATTTATTTATTTAAAAAAAGGTTCTCGGTCTTGTCACAAGGTTTTGTCAAACTTGTTTAGTCATTGAGAAAATGGAATTGACTCGAGAAAATTCAAGAGCTATGATTTATTATGACTTTCGAAGTGGTTTAACACAAAAACAGTGTGTTGACCGGATGATTTCTGCATCTGGTGATGAAGCCCCATCCAAAAATACAATTTATCGCTGGTTTGCTGAATTTTAACGTGGACGTGTCAAGCTCAGTGATGAAACCCGTCAAGGTCGTCCAAAAACTGCAGTCACCCAAGAAAATGTTGATGCTGTGCGTAAGCAGATTGAGGAAGATCGACATGTGACATACCGCGAAATTCAGGCAACTTTAGACATTGGCATGAGTCAAATACAAATAATCTTGCATGAACAATTAGGTGTAAAAAAGTTGATACCGCTCTGTGAAGAGCAAAAAGCGGCTCGCGTTACTTGGTGCGTCAGAACTCTCGAAAGATTCCACGCAGGATCCTCAAATGCTGTATACAACATCGAAACCCGAACCCGAAACAAAAAACCAGTCACGAGTTTGGGTGTTCGAAAATGAGTTAAAGCTAACAAAAATTGTTCGTTCACGGAGTGTTGTAAAAAAAATGGTGGCCATGTTTGTCTCCAAAACCGGCCATGTTACGACTATTCCTCTTGAGGGACAAAGAACGGTTAATGCAGAATGGTATGCTAGCATTTATTTGCCACAGGTCGTTTCTAAACTCCGTAAAGAGAACTGCAACCGCCGCATCATCCTCCATCACGACAATGCAAGTTCTCACACCGCACACAGAACAAAAGAGGTTTTAGAGCAAGAAAACATAGAATTATTAGACCATCCGCCGTACAGCCCCGACCTAAGCCCTAATGATTTCTATACTTTCCATAAAATAAAGAATAAATTGCGTGGACAGAGATTTTCATCACCTGAAGAAGCTATGGACGCCTACATAACGACCATTTTGGAGACCCCAACTTCCGAATGGAATGGTTGCTTCAATGATTGGTTCCATCGTATGGAAAAATGTGTCAAATTTCGCGGAGAATACCTCGAAAAGCAATAAATACATTTTTAAATAGTAATGTTGTGTCACTTCCTTGATACCCGAAATTTTCAGTGCCGCCCTCGTAACATTAAAAAAACAGTCATCACTTTTATTACTTATAATAGGAATATAAAAAAAATATCAAAACAGTAAACCAGTGTTATACTTATACAGTAATTATATCTAATAGTCAAAGGTTAAAAGAGGATTATATTTCAGAAAAAGTAATTTTGCCGTCTTTTCGCCCATGAGGCGATCTCTAAGAGGCAGGCCGACTGCACTGAACAATTGCTCAGTGCCCACTAGGAACGCTGGCCGGTGGAGCGCTTAGATATTAACGGGCCATATCTGTCAATTTGTCCTATTTTAATTTAGTTTTCCACCAGTCGAGAGGGTTTTATCCCGAGACGCTCGTTTTTCTTTAAGATAGACCTTCAATTGAGCTTTAATTTAATTTTTTTTAGTATCTCCAGATTCTACATACGAGCTATCGTTTTCGCTTGAGGAATCTAAAATTCCTACCAGGTTACTTATAAGATCTTTAGCAGAACTTGTTGAAGGCTCATCAATGTTGCTTGTTATACTACTCAACCTTTTAGTGCCTGGAACTAAACACCGATTATTATCACCATCCCGGTTAGACAGACTTAGAGCCAATTCAACAATATCAGAGTAGACTTTGTGCAGCGAGAATGAAACACCTTCTATTGGTCGAATGAAACACGTGATGCCTGCTTGCGCCTTCTGCGCGTGCGACCATTGACCAACGGCGCGGCCACCGGGCGAGACACGACAAGACCTGTATGCTAATGTGAATGTTGATGCGAATATTTAAAATGATGCGAATCATTCGCATAAGCGAATGCGAACACAAATATTCGTAACATCCCTACTTGTAATCAGAGCATGCACCGTCTACTACGACCTTGATGCTCCGATTTGCAAGAAAACTGGTGATCTAATTGCATAATTTCTCGGGAATTCCATAGGAAGGGTGCTTCGAAAGAAACTTTGTGCCAAACCCGATGGAAGGCCTTCGCAATGTCCAAACTAACGGTCAGGACCTCCCCCTTGGACTCTACTGCCTCCGCCCATCTATGAGTTAGGTAAGTTAGAAGATCACCAGCTGAGTGACCCCGATGGAAACCGTACAGGCGGTCACTAATCAACTGCTGATCTCTACAACAGTAGAGGCCCATGGACAGCAGTGGACTTCTACGAGCTAGTAAAGATGTAAAATATTAATTAATAACAAGTTAATAACAATAAATAAAACAAAAAAAAACTTAATAAAACTGATATCTTAAAATAATAAATATATTTCTTATGCCAATTACAACAGTGAAATACTTTTCTTGAAATGGATTTACTTATTTCACTGAATTACATTTACTTTATGTACAGTACAGAAAATATAAAAAAAAAACGTTCGAAAAAAGGGACTGCCAAAATAATGATTTATACTTTACAAAAAATAACCATAAAGTGAAAACGATTTACAATATTATTATACTAAGATCCTGAACTTACTTAATAAGTAAACCCTTTGAACTAATAAATATACATTCTCTAACAATTCCCGCTATTAAGTTAACAACATAAACTCACTGTTAAATTATGATCTTGTAACTTTTCAAATATTATTGCTTTATTAATCAATTAACATCGTGTAATTTTTATTGTCTTAATGATTCAAAAACAAATTGGCGCTATGCATGACAAATTCTATTTCAAATTATACTATAAGGATGTTTGTGGGATTTTCAACTGAGCTACTTTAAAAATAAGGTTTTTAATTGCGTGCAACAACTTCGCAGTGTTGTAATGGTGCGTCTGGATGCAAACCACGGATATACGGCTCGAGGTTGTTGTAGTAAACATCACCAGACAGTTCTTCTGTTCCTACTTCAGGTTCAGTCTTCGCTTGCTTCGTTGCTTCGTCCACCTCCTTGCGAACTTTAGTATCGATTTCCTATGATAATACAAAAGACATTACATTATTTACCTTTAATTGGCCAATTCACTATATAATATAAATTTGTTATTTTTAGTTGCCTATGTTGGTCGATTTTCTAGTGAGATTTGATTTTTGTAAATATAATAGTTTTTAGAACCCAAAAGTGCACGCTACATGAACGTGTCGCGGCGTTGTCGTCACGCCACAAGCTAAACACATCGAAGCCTAAATCGCGTTATCAAAGTTCCGAAGTAAAAGCAGTATATATAGAATAGCTCCGAACTGCCACCCGTAGCGTTGGCCGCTCCCCGGGCCGAACACCTTGCCCGGCGGGAGATCTTCCCTTTTCCTTTCACGGCCACAAGTGTTTCATTTAATTTTGATGAAAAAAAATTACGAAAATAAATCAATTACACAAAATATAAAATCGATATAGGCTATATGATACATTTGTCCTTTGTCTATCAATGACTAAATAAGAAAATGAAAGCGCCTTTAAATTTTTAATAGTAATAAAATTCATAAAACTTGAAAATCATTTTATTAACAAACGACGCGTACTAGGCTATTGATATGAAATAGGAACCAGTTGACGTAATTCAGAAGCTAATAAAAAACCGGTTCATACGTCAAATTTTTCGGGAGTTATCGTGACTACATACAAAATCAACATCCGGACGTCCACGTAAAAATTTTTCTAACCGTTATTTATCAAAGTAGCAATATAAAATGATTTTTTAGAAAAAATATAAGATGAATTAATTACAGTGTTTTCTTGATATACGGCTACTCATATTATCGAATAAGTGCAATATGGTTATGATATATGTAGAGGCATTTTAACACCATAAAACCTTGACGTGTCGAGAGTAATACACTACCTAATAAAACTTCGCGTTATGCGGCGTGCAATAATATGTTTATTTGACTACATGAATCTAGGACGTCAATTCGATATTTATTCAACTGTTTTAAAAACCATTTTTAGACTGTTCATTTCCTAACCTTATTTCGCGGTTTACATGTCTTACTCTTATTAATTCATAGTATATACTTATTTTATCAAAAATGCATGAAATTCATTGACCCTTATTTATTTATTTTTATTTATTATTTGTCAAACAAGTTGTGCAAAATAACTCTGATACTTAACATTGGCAGAATCCATTTGTAGTTGCGAAACTTGGAAAAAACTAACTGTGAAAAAACAAATATATTTTTCAGACAACTATTTGTATTTCATTTTGTTAACATAGCACTTTTACTATTACACTACAGTACAAAAACTGTTTTCCCTTACTATGATTTTTTCGAATTCATCATCAAATCATAACAAAATTTGCGAATATTATTGTGTTTTATAACTAGCGACACGAAAGTATAGCGGTGACCGTTATTGCGCATAAGTCGCGCTGATTGGCGTATTGTACATTAGTCGCGCTGATTGAGTCGTGCGTATCGTTTGCTCGCGCTGACACAGAATAAAAAATAGTACTACGTATACGTACAGAAGTTGCACTCCTTTGATGTTGACTGCTTGCCGACGTTTTAATAGCCTACATAATTATTATTAATCTAATAAATCGCGCACGCACGCTCAATAAAACTATCGCCGCGCGCGAGTGTCCGTATTACTTTGCATCTTTTCTCCTTCCTACGTCACAACGGACTTTCCGTGGTTACTAGGGGCTGTTATTAAGAGTAGAATAGAATAGAATAGAATAATTTTTATTCAATATACATTAATAATAATAAATAATAAATAAATTTTATTTCGTTTTTTAAAAAGTAAATGCCTTAAAAACTAGTAGATTGGAACCTCCATTTAAGCAAATAATGTCTGTGTTTGGAGGGTCCGCTCTTCCATTACTATATCCATGTTACAAGTGTAATTGTAATTATAATTATAATTGTACATTACATGTGTAATTCTTATTGAGTCATTTTTTACTTTACCACTGGTTCGAAAAAAAACCCTCTGTCCTGGGAAAAACCAGCAAGAATTTTTTTTTTTATATATAAATTTTACAATATAAATGATTACAAACTATTTACAAAATTTATTTTAGAAACTGCTTGGAAGCGACCACCTCATTCCCAGGGGTTATTATCAGCCATGTATTCATTTATACTATAATAACCCTTTTTATACAGTTTCAGCTTAATAAAACATTTAAACTTGGTAATAGAGAGCATCTGTACACTTTCCGGGACATTGTTATAATAGCGTATACATTGCTCCAAGAATGAATTACCTGACTCTGTGGAGTCAAGAAACTGGCATCACTAGCTTGTGTTTGTTCCTAGTGTTTACAGAATGTATATCACTTTTTTTACTAAAACTATCTTTGTTTTTGTGAACATACATTAAATTTTCGTAAATATACTGAGGCCAAAGTTAATATATTAATTTTTTTAAATTTATCTCTAAGAGACTCTCGGTTTTAGATTGTAAATAGCTCTAATGGCCATCTTCTGTAAAACAAAAAAGTTTCTGAATCAGCCGCATTTCCCCATAGCAAAATCCCATAAGACATTATGCTATGGAAATAACTAAAATAAACTAATCTAGCTGTCTCAACACTAGTGAGACCTCTAATCTTTTTTACAGCATAGGCTGCAGAACTTAGTCTGCTTGCTAATTTGGATATATGGGGGCCCCACTGGAGCTTTGCGTCAAGAGTGATGCCAAGAAAAACAGTGGATACAACAGGGCTCAATTCCTCCCCATTTAAAAACACATTGGTATTCAGATTTTTTACATTCGTTGTTATAAATTTAACACAATTAGTTTTATTTCCGTTCAAATGCAGATTATCAACGTTAAACCAATGCATTAATTTTGAAATACCATTAATCACTTCGTCACATTTAAATGATTGACGTTTAAGTTTAAAAATCAAGGAAGTATCATCAGCAAATAATACTATATCATGACATACTGATACATGTAAAAAATACATTTCGGAATGGTAAGTTACCTAGGTAACTCTTAACCGCTACTATGTATGTGAGTTCTGTGAAGCAACAAATAAACCCGAAATACGATTTCTAACAGAAATGTGATCGTATTCTACATAGTTAAAAATCTAAACAAAGTTATAAATTCAGTATTTTGTGTTATTTTAATTACAAAAGACAAATATAGGTATGTAAGTAGGTACTTGGGTAGTGAAGTAAGTTTCAACTAAGTTTTGTAATAAAGTACTTAAGTATTACTTCGGTAGTTAATTTATTACTTAATTCTTTTTTCGCTATAAGTACCTAACAAGAAATCATAATCAAATATAATACAACAAAATGAACATGAAATAAATTGTGACACAAGAACAAGAAAATGAAATAAATTCAGCTTTCATTTTCCTTCGTTAACTTTAATTACGTGAACAGCGTTAAAAAAACTTTAACATTCAATCGCCTAGAAGGCGCTAGCCCCGATTGCGTTCTATCCCAGGAGCGCCTCGCGATTTTGTAGGTAATTACTTCACGCATGTAGCAAGAGTGGGGGAGGCCTGGCGCTAATTGGCTCTCCACTTGCATTCGTGCAATTCAATTCCTCCATGTTTCGTTCAGCGCTAGACTTACATGCCGCGACTTGTATTAGTAATTTGTCTAATAAGTATCTGCGCATGTGAACTATTAGTGAAAACGACGAAACATGTGCTCTCATATCGATATAAACCTCAAGTTATTTTGTACGCCTAGGCATCTTAAGAACTTGGGTCCGCTCTCAAAAAAATCTCCAAAAAACTCCGCAATGTCATACATTAGCTAACACCCGTATTCAAGAACCACCCTTATTTAAGTGTACTGGCTCTCACTGCGAAGTGTCCGATTTCTCACAGTGTTGGATATGTCCATCGACTTGTTTCATAGACAACACTTAAGTATTTCTTTACTCAGTGAATGCATAGGGAAGGATTCGGCGTTTTGATTGGTCGGTTTCGGGGCTAGCTTCAAGTTATTCAATTTTCAAGCGTCAAATGTCAATTAGTACATAACCTCAATTAATGTGTTGATTTTTGCAAACTGGCTTGTGTTAGATACGATACGCTATTTGAAGTAAAATTTAGCTTAAATACCAAGTAGAATTTTTGTGATAATGGAAATAATATCTCCGGCTAACAGTGCTAAATGGTAACTCAAATATTTTTCCTCAGTAATGTTTATTTTGTGTGTTTTTTGATAATTCATTCAACATACATTATTTTAATTTTTAGCTCAAAAAAAATAGCTTTTTCCTCCGCCGAAAAAGAACTAATCATAAGTTTGGTAAGTGAACGTCCCATTATTGAAAACAAACAGACAAATGCCCGAAACATTGAGCTCAAGAGGGCGGCATGGGACGAAATTGAAAATGCCTACAATGCAGTACCTTTTGTGGTCAAGAGAACGGCATTACAGCTAAAGAGATGCTGGGAAAACATAAAAAGTTGTCGTAAGAAGGAGCTGTCAATGGAAGTCGGCAGTTTATTACAGACTGGAGGTGGAGTTGGTGAAGCGGGCACTACAGAAAACGTCATAGACAGTATTTGCCCATACATAAATCTGACTGTACCTGGAGTCATTGACTCAAACACAGAAGAGAAAGTCCTAGGTAAAAGATTTGTTACATAATTATCATAATTAAGGATGAAGCTTTATTTCTTGTTTTGTTTACATCACTACTCTATACAAAGCTTGCATTTTACTTACTATTAAACAGCAGAGACAAAGTTATATTGTAAATTAGAAATGGAATTTTTTGAAATTTAAGCAACATTATTGTTATTGTTCACAGTAAAGCTGAGTTCTGTGGAAATACATGCTCCAGAGAAAATAGATAAAGAAAACCAACATGGTAATATAGTTCTGTAGTATTGTCAAAATGTTACTTAAAATAAACATTGAATAGAATGCACAAAAAGATAAACTATATCTGGATATTATTTCAAATATCTTATTTTGTGTACATGCTACTTTATTTTGGGTATTTACTTTTCCTTTTTTGCAGATAATGAGGTCATAGAAAGTTTAAAATTAAGCAAGAGGAAAAGAGGATTATTTCCTTTAAAAACATTAACAGGTACAGGAACAAGTATAATATGTATTTTTTTATGTACAGACGGAGATATGAAGTAGGCAAATATAAATTCATTGTTCAAGGGAGCTTTTAGCTTTCCATTACATACACTATCTACTTACAAGTGTACATAATTTGATGTAATTGACCTATGTAATGATAACAGCCAGACACACTTGCTTATAATGTAATATTAGAATTGATTTTAATGTATTAATAATTATGCCCATTAGTAAGTCTTTAATTACTACCAGCTACTACTACTTCAAAACACTCATCTCAATAATACATGTTGTAGATTTATACTTATTTTATTTCAGATAACAATGGTAAGCTCTCCAGTGAAGTCCAAGTGCGGGTAAAGCGGTGCAAGGAGAATATAGAGCAGGATTCAGAATTACATAAATTGAGAGTCCAGAGGGAAAAAATATTGATAAAAAAAGAAGAAATATTATTGGAAAAAGAGTCACAGCAAGCCACATTTCAAATAGAAAAAAACAATTTAGAAATCAAGAAACTTAAGTTAGAAATAGCATTATTGGAAAAAAAATTAAATTAATTTATTCAAAGTCCCTGTAAAAATTGTTTTATTTACATGAAATTAATAAATATAACTACCAGAAATACATTTCAAAAATGTCGTTCAATAAACATTCTCCTAAAAACTAATCCCTGTCTATTGGATGGATTGGCATTCCTTCTGTCAATTCTTCTTATAACCGGTGGTTCTATATTCTCCTCAATTTCATTATGCAAACGACAAATATTATACAAAATGGCTGTGGCTACTACTACATGGCATGTTGTTGTCAGATTTGTCGCTAGTTTTTTTGACAAACATGGGAAAATTCTTTTCCAAACACCTATAGTTCTCTCAACAGTATTTCTGGTCTTAATGTGAGCTTTATTATAATTTTGTTCAGCATCTGATTCTGGCCGTAGAACTGGTGTCAGTAAATATGTTTGGCAACCATAACCACTGTCACCTAAAAGCAAGCCATCAATTTCTCCTCCTTCCAGCTTTGCTTTTAATGTACTTGCTTGAAATATACGATTATCATGAACTGAACCTGGTCTGTCAGCTACAATGTCATATATTTCTAATTCAGGGCCGCACACAAGTTGTGTATTTATGGAGAAAAATTTTTTCCTGTTACGGAAAACTTCAGCAAAATTTCCTCCAGGGTTTTGGATAGCAACATGTGTGCAATCTATGCATCCTCTTACTCCAGGAAACTGCGCAATCTGGTAAAATTTTAGTTTTGTATATTCACTGTTTTCTGGGAATTTTATGTACCGTTTTATTTGCAAACTAATCAAATAGGACACTCTTTTGACGATTCTTGAAACGGTTGGTTGGCTAACACTAATAAGGTCGCCGCTGATAATTTGAAAACTGGCTGAGGCATAAAATCTGAGTGCAATTAGCAACTGGTACACTGGGGGAATTGGTAGTCCTCTTTTTGTAAGTTTCTCGAGATTGTGAGAAATTAGCGGCATAAGTACGTTTAATACTGTTTCTTTGCGAAATCTATATCGCTGTTTAAATTCCACTTCACTATAATATTCGAAAGGGTTCTGAAAATCTCTGATAACACGCCTTATTGTCACGCTTTCTTGGCGATTCACTTGTTCGTCCAAGTAATTATCAAATTCCTCATCACTACCACTCATTTTTATTTTAACTAGGTAGTACTAAAATACACAAAAGACAAACAATAGTTTATAAGTTTATATCATGGAGTATAGTTTATATATAAGTAATAACTTATGCTTTATTATTTTGAGGTTATGAATATGACATTTACGCCGACCCTATGCGTTCGTTAAAGTAGCTAATGGGTAACTTTAGCCAAGGGTGTCCCTAATTAGTTGCATAGTGTCGTCCAACACTCAAGTAACGTTTATGAAACAAAATTTCGTCCACTGTGGGTTAAAGCCTACTGTGCGTACGCATAGTATCGTTCTTGAATACGGGTGTAAATGTAAAGAAGTTTTAATACAAAATATTGTAATGGATAATTTCTTATTAGAAAGTTAAGTTAACTTTTTCTTTTGGGCAAAGGTGATAGAAAAAATGTTTAAAGTTTTTTAAAGTACCTATTTTATACCACCACTCTCTCACACATTCCTAACAGACTGTACTGTGTACATATTGTAATGTATGTTCTTTACTCTCTATTCTAATCGAATTAAAAAAAATGAAATATTCCAAAGCTTAAATACTGGACGGAGTAGACTAATATTAGAAATACCTTGAGCTGATCAGGAGTGACCAGTTCCCTGCTAATTATTTTCTCCTTGAAAGATGTTATGGGGTCCCTGGTCTGCCGCACTTCTTGCACCTCGTCGCGAGTTCGGTACGACGTCCCAGGGTCCGACATAGAATGGCCAGAGTATCGGTAAGTCTCCATCTCCATCACCAGAGGACCTAAAAGACCAAGAATACAGCCTTACTCATAAAAATCCATGTAAACTTAAGAAATTCATAAAGTTGTTCTTTCTCTCTTCAGTAAATGACAATAGAAAACAGACGGGCATAGAGATAATTAATACTTAAGTAAATTATGAGATAATAAGAGATTATAAGTAAAGCAGTTAGTGTTTAAAGGCACAAATTATCATCTAGAGTTAATATATTTTTCTGAAAAACATGGTGCTAAAGAACATTATACCTAAACTTACACATGTCACATCCCTCATGATTCTTATACTTCTAGCTAACATATAACATCACAAAAACTTATAAAACATTTATTTTTTGTAGGTCCATACCTTTTCCACTGGTACAATAATCTATGGCATAGCGGGTTGCTTCCCTTGTGGCGATGACATCCATACCATCTACCCATATTCCAGGTACATAGTCCCCGCGGGAATAGTAGTCTGTACTTGCTGAGGATCTATCTACACTTGTACCCATACCTGAAAAAAATAGTTTTCTTATAAAATGTGGTATACATAGAAAAGAAAAAGGGTAGTAAATAATTATTCTTAATTCATGTCAAAGTAGAATAATTTTTATTCAATATATGGTACATATCATTCTTATGACTTACTAACAGTTATTTTTTTACTTTGACTACATATGTTTAAAGTCCTGTATTATATTATATGTTAATTCATTCGAAAATAAATACCTATGTAACTTCGTAATATAAAGTTAAGTAAGCATATCTATGGAAACGAAAACTAGTCGAATACACTGTGTTACTTTCATGAAATACTTGACACTGGCAGAATCCATTGGAAGTTACCGAACTAGCAAAAAAAAATTATTATGTTATATATTTTCTTTTCCTGTTATATATACATAAACATTTGATATTATTACTAAGGCTAGAGTCTTTAAAGGCAAATACATTTAAGAAGGAACAATCATCAGAAGCTAGATGTAATTTCCTACATAACCTGCAGATATATTTGTTTATCTGCAGAAACATTTAAGAAAATCCTAGGTACAAAAGGAAACATATTATCTATTAAACAATATTTAAATTTACCGTAGCCATTGTTTTCACAAACGAATACACAAGGTAGGTCCCATAATTTAGCCATGTTGTAGGCCTCAAACAACTGGCCCTGATTAGCAGCTCCATCTCCATAGAGAGTGAAGGTAACTCCACCGTCTCCACGGTATTTGTGCGCTAAAGCAACACCTGCACCCAATGGCGCCTAAAAATAAAAAAGTAACAATGACAATATAATCATCAATTTTATAATTATTTATTGTTAACTAATCACAATGACAATATAATCATCAATTTTATAATTATTTATTGTTAACTAATCATAAGTTTTACTTTAAAAAAAATTGAGAATCTTGCTATTTGACCAGATTTGAGAAACACATTTTATCTTGTTAATATTGTGAGATGAAAAATGACAGGATAATGTCATTCATTGTGATATCAACTATACAGATTTTACAGTGCTACAAGTGCACATGCAAGCATGGAGGCTTTCACCACTCCTTAACTACCTGTGCCTATTGTAATGCATCACATGGCAATCAAACTTATGAAAACTAACAATGTGTGCCTATGATCAGAGCTTAATGACTAGGCACTCTAACCATTTGGCTATACAGTTGCCAATTGTAGGTTGTATAAATGTATCTATGTGTGGTTTAATAAATACAACAATTGTTAGACCTAAGCCTTTGTATCTCTAAACTGTCAGCCGTATGTGGCCTACTGGGCTAAAATCTTTCTTGAACTTTGTACATCAATGAACTTTAGACATGTTGAAAACAACCATAATTAAGGTTATAATTAATTGATATGATATGTGCGGCGTAAGAGAATCCACGATCCCATTATGTCCCATATGTGCTATAAGAGGCAAATATGAGAAATGACAGAAAACTCTGCAGCAATTGTTAAAGCCTGTCAAGCATAATGAATAAGACAAATCCTCCCCACAACGGGAGAGGTGTAGAGTACTAAAGAAGGAACATTCTGCAGTGACCTTTTATGGGTAGATGAAGTATAAAATTTGATGGAAAATGTACACACACCTGAGCCCCTACAATGCCATTGCCACCATAAAAGTTTCTGCCATACAAATGCATGGAGCCTCCTTTGCCTCTTGAGCAACCAGTCCGACGGCCCGTTAGCTCAGAGAGCACACCCAATACACTAACTCCCATGAGATGAGTCCATCCATGGCAGCGATAAGCTGTTATAACAGTGTCAACATCCCGCATAGCTGCTCTCATTCCAACTGCTACTGCCTCCTGACCTAAAATAATAATTTATGTCATGTATAATTAAATTGCGTGACTGTGTTTAGAGGCTGGCCAATAAAATTGTGGTCAATCAAGTCAAGAAAAATATTGTGTGTGACAAATGTAGGTAGTATTTTTCTACAAAGACAATTAATGGTTCTATTGTGTGTCATACTGACAATCAAACAAATTCTTGATGTAGGATAGTAATGTATGTTTTGTCTATCTGTTTTTATATTAAAATCTAACTTTAAGAATTTCTCCAGCGGTATGCAGTAAATTTTACAAACATTGATATTATTTTCCCATATCATTTCACCAGAACATTGCTAGCTTACTAACATTACTTAGAGTTTGAAAGGGATACTATTATTGTAAATATTTATGAAATAATATATTGGATAAAGTTTTTAAGAATAAAAGCAGCAAATTTGTTGTGACTTTATATTACCTGAATATAAGTGGCAAAAACCTCGAATAATCTTCTCTTTATACAAATTGCCTGATGCAGTCTCAATTCGTCGCAGTACTGCAAGCTTTTCATAGATTTTGAGTGCATCTTCTGATGTAAGTGTAGCTGACGTTGCTGGTCCCTTCTCCAATTTATGAAGTTTATAGGGCTGAAAACAATAATTATTGAAGTTGTACTTCTTTTGTCGGGGTGTCTGGGAAAAGTTATGAAAGTGAATTATATACGATGCGTGTGCACTCCGACAGCTAAAAATGACACCATAAAGTTGTTACGATGCACGTGCACACTAACACCTCAAAGAGACAACTTCATTGGGTAACTGTCTCTCAAGTTTTTGTGGGTACTGATAACTATATTTAAGGTAGTTACAAGCTGAAGTAGAAGCTTACCATTAGGTGGACTGTTTATTTGTCACTAAAAAAAAAAGAGACATTAAATTATGTAACATTATTCTCAATTAAAATTCTAATTGACATATTCTAGTTTATATAACAATTTTTGTAATAATACCTATGTATAAAAAAATCACAAAATGCGATATTTAAATATTTCTTATTACTTAACGCTGATTGAACTGATAATTCAACATTGTCTATATTTTAATTACCTATGGCATAACATAAGCTAAAATAAATACTGATAATATATTATGACAATAAAACAACTTTACACTTGACATTTGAAGGTTAGGTTACATAATTATAATAGGCTGAAAACTTTCCATAAATATCTTTGTTCGTGTTTTATTTATAAAAACTCATAAATTACATATTACTCAGTTACAAAAAAGTAAAGTAACGAGGATAAGTGCCTTGCATACCACACGTTTACCTTAATTTCAAACGTAGCTTCAGATTTCGTGCTGTATTTCGAGGTCGACGTAGTCACTACCGGGGCGGCCGTTTTCTATAACAAAACAGTTTATTCAGTCACAAACCAGCACACACTTTGCTCTTTATTATTCAATAAAATTCACTAAACTAACCGTGATGGTGGAACCGGCGAAGAACTTGGCAGCGTTTGGAATTAATTTACTCATTGTTTCTATTATTTTTGCAACGATACCCAGATTTAAACAGTGATCCACAATATGGATCACTTATACTTATGTGAAAAATTAAGCTAACACTTTATAAAAAAAATCACTATTTCACATTGAAAGTGAAACCGAGCCGTCCCGTTTTGTCTTTGGATCGAAATGTCATTATGTCATTGACAATTGACATTATTTGCAGTGCTGCCAGCGTGGCTAAACTAAACGTTACTTTGGCATGTCTAAAAGCTTACATTTTCAAATCCTTAATTATTAAATTCTAAATAGCAATCAGTTATTTCTCAATAATGGTAAAAATAGCCGGCGTCTGATGATTTTTTTTAATATTGTATTTTTCATTTTGTGCGAAAAATCTAAGAAATACTAACAAACAAGACAAGCTATTCCACCTATTGAAGACACCCACATTGTGATTGCATGGAAAAACAGATGTTGGCAACTTTTTCCAGTCCTATGTTGTGGACAACGCATGACGAACGTTGAATGCGTTGAATCAATCCGTTTGGTTCAAAGTCCGAAGTAAGTCGACAATATAAAGGAGAGGCCGGGTGTCTGTCTGCTTGTCCGATGGTAGGAGAAAGAAGGAGGAATTAAAAGTGTTAAAGTCGTAAATGTAACCTATTCGTTCGTTTCGACTAAGGAATCTATTTACTGGTTACATGCTTTACCATCAAGTAATCTCTGCACATTACTTGATGGGCAAAGCTTGCGCACCGCCGTAGGAATCCGACTAGGATCAGCGATTTGTCAACCTCATCAGTGCCTCTGTGGTAGCAGCGACGACAAGTTTGGGCTCCACGGACTTTCATGTAAGAAAAGTGCTAGTACGTTTTCACGGCATGGTTCTTTGAACGATGTCATCCGAAGGGCTCTTGTTAATACCTTACCACCTTGCTTTGTTGAGTTGTATATGTTAATACCTTACCACCATACCCAATCGTAGTATTCAAGTACTCGTACGTTTATATTTTAAATAACAGAATATTAATATAGGATAGGATAAAAGAATTATGTGACTCCGAATGAAGTAATATTATTCGATGTAAAAATAACTTTTACTGGCAATAATTTTACAACAGTGAAATTAACTTCGCGTATGAGATAACTGAGGTGCGTAGCGCGCACGTCTTGTTCCTGTGCTAGCTGCAGGCGGAATAATCGGCGGTCGGGCTCGCGCGCTGACGAAGGTGCGGGGCGTTGCCGGTCGAGGTCGCGCTATTGTTTTGCTCCGATGGCGTGATGTCGAGCATGGCTCAATCTTCAAAAGCGTGGCGGATTTGTGTGGGGTCCAACAGAAGCGAGTTACGCCACATATTCCCCCTGGCCAGACCGTAACTACGGTCGATAGTAGAAATCTCACTCTTCGGCCACTCCGCGTAATTTTCTCCTTGTTGACAATAGGTTTCGTAGGGACTTTGGGTTCCGGGTCTTTGATTTCTTTGGCCATGTACGCTGGTTTTAGTCTGTCAACAGAGACGTTATTTTCCTTTCCCCTTATGTCTATAGTGTAGTACTTGGCTTGTCTGTCTAGTACTTTGAAGAAAAACATGAGAGGATGTGTGGAGGTCCCATGGTATGTAGAATGGCGTTGTCGTGCTGGTGTGCCATGATATCTGCTTGGGAGTGATTTTAGCCATGCAGGATTGTAGACGTGTTACGTACTCTGTGAAGTCTGCCGTGGTGTAGTCGTCTAATGCAGATAGGTATTGGCCTGGTAAGCTGAGAGTTTGACCATATACCAATTCAGCAGGCGTAGGTTGGAGATCCTCTTTCCATGAGTTGCGCATGTCCAAGAGAACCAGTGGAAGGGCTTCCGTCCACTGTGATGATGTGTGGCACAGGATCGCCGCCTTGAGTTGGCGATGAAGTCGTTCGATGATACCATTCGCAGCTGGGTGATAGGGGGTTGTGCGTAAGTGACGCACATCAACCAACTTTGTGAGAGCTTTGAAGAGATGGCTCCCGAATTGGCGACCACGGTCTGTAATCACCAGTGCAGCGTAGCCGAATCGGGCTATCCAGCCGGACACCAGAGTAGCTGCGCAGGTTGCCGTGACGTCCACCATGGGGTATGCCTCAGGCCATCGCGTGAAACGGTTGATGACGGTAAGGCAATATCTGTAACCAGAAGACAGAATTAAGGGCCCTACGATGTCGAGGTGGATATGGGAAAACCTCGACGAGGGAGTGAGGAAAAATGAAAGCGGGGATATGGTATGACGGGTGATCTTGCAACAATCTTTACGTATCCCTGGCCATACGTATCTTTGTAAGACCAATCGCACAGTAGCTGAACTTTCAGGATGGTGTAAGCTGTGTACTGTATCAAAAACTTGTTTCCTAAACTGGTGAGTAACATAATGACGTGGCGGTTGCACAGAAGTGTCGCAGTAGACAGGTAAGTTACCATTCATAGTGTTGATCCTTTTCAATTGCAGGGTAGAGCCATGAAGAAGTAGATTTTGTAGTTTTGGATTTTTGTCCTGAGCTCGTGCAAGATCGTCGTAGTTCACAGCTGCAGTGATCTCCTCGACTCTAGAAAGTGCGTCAGCAACTAAGTTTTCCTTACCAGGTAAGTATTTCAGGTCTGTCGTAAACTGAGCAATGTCTTTGCTCTTTGAGAAGGCGAAGATAAGAGGCTTATGGTCGGTGAATATTGTAAATATTCTAGCCTCGACCATATGGCGGAAGTACTCGATGGCTTCATAGACAGCCAGTAGCTCTCGGTCGTAGGGGCTGTACTTCCGTTGTGCGTTGCTGAGCTTATGAGATTAAAAAGCAAGTGGTACCCAATCCTTACCTTTCCGTTGTTGAAGCACGGCGCCTATGGCAGTTTCAGACGCATCTGTCACTATTGCTAGTTCTGCAGCTGGGTCTGGATGAGCGAGAAGAGTTGCTTGAGATAGTGATTCCTTACAGTCTTCGAAGGCTCGAAGTAATTGCGGAGTCATGACTATCGGATGAGACTCTTTGATTTTTGAGCCACTGAAAACCTCATTCAGCGATGCTTGAAGTTGGGCTGCGTTGGGAACAAAGCGACGGTAGAAGTTTAGCATGCCTATGAAACGTCTTAGCGCTTTGACCGTTTTCGGAACGGGGTATTGCCTGATAGTTTCGAGTTTAGACTCAAGTGGTTTTGTACCTGCAGCTGACACGTGGTATCCCAGGAACGTGACTTCTGGCTGGCCAAGTATACACTTGGCAGTGTTTACCACGACGCTGTACTGATTTAGGCGTTCAAAGAGTTGCCGCAGATGGTTCTTGTGCTCTTGGATGGATGCCGAAAATACCAAGATATCATCTATATATCCGTAGCAGAAGTCGAGTCCTAGCAACACCTCGTCAATGAACCTCTGGAAGGTCTGTGCTGCGTTTCTTAAACCGTAATTCATGAACGGAAATTCGTATAATCCAAATGGAGTCATGATCGCCGTTTTCATAATGTCATCTGGATTGACAGCAATCTGATTGTACGCCTTAACAAAGTCGATGGTAGAAAAGACAGAACAGCCCGCGAGTTGATACGAGAAGTCGTGGATATGACGGATGGGATATCGATCAGGTATAGTTCTATAGTTCAGTGCTCTGTAGTCTCCACGTGGCCTCCAACTATCGTCTTTTTTCTTTACCATGTGAAGGGGAGAAGACCAAGCGCTTTCCGATGGTCTAGCTGTGCCACTGGCGAGCATGTCTGAGAACTCTTGCTTCGCAGCTTGCATGCGAAGTGGATCCAGGCGTCGAAGCTTGCTGGCTACTGGAGGTCCTGGAGTCGTCCTGATATGGTGCAGAGTACTGTGTTTGTATGGTAAGTGCATACCTGCAGGGCGAGTTATCCCTGGAAATTCACGCAGTATCTGGTGAAATTCGGTTTCTCCGGTGACTAACTTCACCGAAGCGATGTCTTCCGTCGATGTGCCAGTTACGGCGTTGACCGAGAGAGTAGTGACATTGTCGACTAATCGTTGATTCCTACAGTTCCTACTGTTGAAGAAGGGTAGTCGTTGGCCGCTTTTTGCGACCACCCTGTAAGTTTTCCGCCTTTAATGTGCAAGGCTTGTTCGCCTTGCGTCCATAGGTGTAATGATAAAAGCAGTGCGGGTGATCCGGTGGAGGCCTTTTGGGTCGGAATTTCCTCGAGTTGGATCGCGATCTTGAGTGTGAGCGGGAACGTCGTTGCCTGTTTAGTTGTGTAGTGAGAAGTGCTACTTGCCTCGTTAGTTCACTTATCTGCTTGGCCTTGGTGTCAAGATTCCCCGGAGTGGTAGTAGAGGTGCTGGCAACTTGAGGGTTCATCGGCGCAATCTCGTACACCCTGTCTGCGAGTTCAGCTAGTTTCTCCAACGATAAGTCTGTTATGTGAGAAGCAATCACAGTTTGAATATTAAGAGGTAGGCGACTCGACCATAAGGGTTTTATAAAGTCTGACGCTGCAGATGCTCCTGCTAGATTCTGCAGGTGGCGTATGAACTGCGACGGTTTCCGATTGCCAAGCTCTTCGTGGCTGAGCAGTTGCTGGAGACGCTTCTCCTGCGATGCTGAAAGACGACGGATTAGTTCCGTTTTCAACTTTAGTAACTTATCGGTTCTAGGTAGGTTGGTAATTATGTCCTTAACTTCCCTAGCGTATGGAGGTTCTAGTTGCGCGACTACGTAGTAAAATTTTGTCTCGTCACTTGTGATTCTGGATAATAAGAACTGGCCTTCGATTTGTGCGAACCATAAAGCAGGCTCATCGACCAGGAATTGGGGTACCCTAACACCCACTCTCAAGACTTCTGCGGAAGTCAAATCTTTCTGTTCGGTAACGTTGACTACACTCGGCTCGTCCATCATTGTAAAATATCAAAAAATAATGATACGCTCACCTTGTTTGACTTGGACCAAACCCTATCCTTTGTTATCTCTCCGTAGCTTCGAAGCTGGAACCATTGCGGTCGTGAGGTGCGTAGATTCAATCCACCGTTGCTTCGGCTTGTCAGCAGGTCACCAATATGGGTCACCAGTATGTTGTGGTTCGGTGTGAGTTGTATATGTTAATACCTTACCACCAAACCCAATCGTAATATTCAAGTACTCGTACGATTGTATTTTAAATATATAGAATACTAATATAGGATAGGATAAAAGAATTATGTGACTCCGAATGAAGTAATATTATTCTATGTAAAAATAACTTTTACTGGCAATAATTTTACAAGAGTGAAATTAACTTCGCGTACAAGATAAGTTAACTGAGGTGAGTAGCGCGCACGTCTTGTTCCTGTGCTAGCTGCAGGCGGAATAATCGGCGGTCGGGCTCGCGCGCTGACGAAGGCGCGGGGCGTTGCCGGTCGAGGTCGCGCTATTGTTTTGCTTCGATGGCGTAATGTTCGAGCGTGGCTCAATCTTCATAAGCGTAGCGGATTTATGTGCGGTCCAACAGAAGCGAGTTACGCCACACGTCCCTTAGGAGAGAGGTAAAGCCCTAGTGTGGGATGCTACTTGTGTAGATACTTTGGCGGCCTCTTATCTCAGGGGTACCTCGTTTAGAGCCGGGGCGGCGTCAGAGGCAGCTGAACTGAGTAAGCGGTGCAAGTATGAGTCTCTGAGACACGACTACATAGTTGTACCATTTGCTGTAGAGACTATCGGTCCGTGGGGTTCACGTGCGATGAAGTTCCTAAAGGAACTCCATCCGCGACTGGTCGTTGCTGCTGGTGATAAGAGGGCTAGTTCTTTATTCACTCAAAGGCTAAGTATAGCCATTCAGCGGGAAATGCAGCCAGCGTTTTTGGCACGATACCGTGGGGAGTAGGACTGTATGATAATTAAGTTACTAGTTTTAGTTTTTTTATAGTTTTTAATATTGTATATAATAAAATATTGTACATTGTGTAGTGTTTTTATACGGCACCTTGAGATACTATCGTCATCAACTGCCTACTGAACTAGCGGTTGTAAAAATCTTAAACTTCGCAAATTGTAAAGAATTGTGTGAAGTGGAGTTGCCACTCAACAACTTGTAAATTTTTGAAAAAATAAATTTGGATCTATTGTAAATTTTTTTTAATACAAATAAATTACTTCATAAAAACCAATTTGGTTTTACAAGAGGTCGCTCGACGTCTGACGCCGGTGGTGAGCTTATGAAATATATTTTTAATGCCTGGGAGAATTCACAAGATGCCTTAGGTATTTTCTGTGACCTTTCCAAGGCTCTCGATTGTGTTCATCATGAGACTTTAATCAGGAAACTACAACATTACGGTGTTAAATATTTGGAGCTTAGACTTATTACTTCATATTTAAGTAACAGAACTCAAAAAGTCGTAATCAATGGTAAAGGTACCTCCGGATCGGTAGTAACAATGGGCGTTCCTCGGGGCTCGATTCTTGACCCATTCCTGTTCTTAATCTGTATTAATGACTTACCTTATCTTGTAGGGGACAATCAAGATATAGTATTATTTGCTGATGATACGTCTTTAATTTTCAAACTCAAACGGCAGTCAATTCATTATGACGATGTAAATAATGCTCTATCGAAATTAGTACATTGGTTTAACGCCAACAATTTGTTCTTAAACGGCAATAAGACAAAATGTATTAAATTTACAATACCTAATGTAAAACATTCGAAAACCAATGTGCTCTTAAATGGGGAGGAGTATTGTTGATACCACTGTTTTTCTTGGTATTACTATTGACGCGAAACTTCAATGGGGCCATCATATATCTTAATTAGCAAGCAGACTTAGTTCTGCAGCATATGCTGTAAGAAAGATTAGAAGTCTCACAGATGTTGAGACAGCTAGGTTAGTTTATTTTAGTTACTTTCATAGCGTAAGGTCTTATGGAATTTTGCTATGAGGTAATGCGACTGATATTGAAGCTATATTTGTTGTTTAGGCCAAATCTTAACACTTTAAAAACTTGCATTCAAAATGCTCGTCTCGGCGATCAACTGGTTTGACGGCTTGGGCCGGCGGGACTCGTTAGTTGGTCCGCGGCAGGCGTGTCGGTTAACGGTCTGGTAGTTACGCCCGGAACGTTAGGTCGCGTTAAGACCGCCTCTAATTGCGTTTCTGATTTCGTACGTTTACGTGACAACGAGGCCTTCCTTGAGTTTCGAGTGATTAACTTAACTTCGATTTGCGTCGACGAGTGGCTTGTATGGCATTTTAATATCGTACGAAGGCAATTTTCCTTTGTCGGGTAGAACGCTAAGAATTTGTGAACCGAGAGGAGATCGCGTTCGTCTTCGATTATAATTTTGTGCTAAGTGACGTTAGACTTGAGTTCAGATAACGGTGAACGCCCACTGGAGTGATCGAACATTGTGGAGCAGAGCAACGCATGTAGGTTTGCTGTTCGATTACATCGGAGACGACAGGTTACATTTACACACCTTCTTACACCACTCACACCTACTGACGGTACCTTGTGGTCGACCCTACCGCCGAAACTTGGTAAGTTTGTGTTTGTTTATCCAGCCACTACATAATAATTATCCATAGGCCATTTGGGACCGAACCCTCTGGTTGCCCATCGAGTGTGTTACTCATGGGCCCTAGTACAGTCGACTTCTGTCGGGGCAACTGAGGGCCGTAACATTTTCTGGTATCAGAGCGTGGTTGATTGTTTATCCAATCACGCCCGGCCATAATATAATATTTTTTTGTTTTGTTAGTGGATCGGTAATTAGAACTACGCCCGTTAGGCTGCGCAAGCAGGAGTGTAGTTTAGGGTTAGGTACCTACGCGTCAGGTATTTCGGGTAGGTAGATTAAATTGCCGAAGGGTCGGTCTCCTGAGCGAGGCATCTATGTTGACCGACTGTAGTGTGTACTTATCGTATAGTGTAATTTGTATTTAATTTAATAATAATTTGTATTTAGTAGTGATGCCATCGCACAAGCCACCAGCGCTTCGCCTGTAGGCGGAGCTGCGCTGGGCCGCGAATGCCCATACTTTGATAGGGCGACCCGATCAGGTCCATAGTTCAGGGAAGCGGCTCGAGCAGGTCGTGGCCCGTAGGGCCGTAGTGGAGGAGGCTTACACTGAGTTTGTGGCCTCGGATGCGGAACAGGGAGTCCTAGACTCCTGCCTCGTGGACTACGAGCAATTCTTTTCGCTCACGGACGACTTGATCGAGGCGGGGGCCAAGCATGCTAATGAAGCGCGTAAAGCTCGGCTGAGTGGCCTGTCCGAGTCCCCTCGGAAGCAGCCTACTCAGCCGGAGCTGTTGGGACGACTCCCAACTCTGGACCTGCCAAGGTTTTCCGGGGTCCTCTCCGACTGGCTGACCTTTGTTGGCCTTTTCGATAGCCTAGTGGACGCCCGGAGGGACTTGACACCAAGCCAGAAGATGGCGTACCTCCTGGCCTCACTGGAGCGGGAGCCCCTGGGCGTCGTCGGCCATTTGAAATTGTCGGACGACGCCTACAAGACTGCCCGGGACCTCCTCGCAGGAAGGTACGCCAACGTCCGGCGAATTGCGGACGATTACGTTAGGCAGCTTTTAAACCTCCCGCTGCTTAGGGACCGGGCCAGACTAGGTCCGGACGTCGTAAATCCAGTCGTGGTGGCCTGTAATGCGTCGGCCTGTATTTGGTCGGTACCGGTACTACGGGGTTCATGCGACCTCGAATCTGTCCCGGGCCTCAAGGCCGAGGTTCCGCGAAGCTCACCAGGTCGGCCCGTTCGGTGACTTCCAACCACGGGTCATTGAGATGCCGCCGGAATGCCGCTTTCGGGACCCCCGGTTCGAGTGCCGGTCCGATGGAGGCAGCTCCAGCTATGTAGCTGCCGCCCTAGCTTCCACCACGGCCGCCTCCACTGATCCTTTGAGCCGTCAACAGTGCACTTGTCAAACTGTCCTATGCCGACGGCCTCAGTAAAGATGTACAACCCGAGTGGCGACTGTTTAACGGTTCGCGCTCCATTGGATTCGGGTTCACAACGCTGTGTGGCCTCCACTTGGTTGATGGGAAGACTAGGGCTCCCCTGGAGCTCCGAATCACGTCCAATGGTAGGTATCGGAGGTGCCGAGCCTCCTGCTTCTAGGGGACAAGCGGAGTTGGTGTTTGGCTCTGCCAGCGAACACCTTCACATTCTAGTTAAAGTAAATATCCTCGATGACATTGTAGGTTTTCTCCCTAACAGCCGTATAAAAGACAGCGTGGTTCGTTGTGCGTCGGGTTTGAGACCGGCAGACCCTCAAGGGTCCCAACCTGTGCCTATAGATTTGTTGCTGGGGGCCGACGCGCTGTTGTTCATCTTGTTAAGCGAGATACGAGCCCTACAGCCCGATGGCTTGTCAGCCATGTCCACTGTATTTGGGCAGAGTTTCTTTTGACCGGTTCTGTGGTCTCCACCACCTCAGACGGCCGACCCACTCTCTGTTGTGGGCGTGTCCCTTTCGGACGTCATCCAGTGGTTCTGGGAAATTGAGGAGCCACCACACGCGTCTCGAATCAACCCTCTGGAGTGAGTGCGAGTTGTTCTACCAGAGCAATACCGGCCGTCGTGTCGACGGTCGTTTTGTCACTCGCTTACCCTTTCTAGACTCACGGCCCCCTTTGGGCCAATATCGTACCCTGGCCGAAAAGATGTTGCTTTCCATGGAGCGCCGTATGCGGCGTGACCCAGCCTTTCGCGACAAATATGTCGAGTTCATGCGCGAATATCACAGCTGGGTCACATGTCACCGTCCAACTTCGACTGGCGGTCTCAGGAGCCCTACTTCCTCCCTCACCATGCAGTCTTGAGGACCCCTGGGAGTAAGATTCGGGTAGTTAGTAAAACATTTGTTTTGAAAAAAGAGAGCCATACGCGCGATTTATAATCTAAATTGTAAAGAGTCCCTCAGAGAAAAATTTAAAGAAATAAACATATTAAATTTGGCATCGCAATATATTTATGAAAATGTAATGTATGTACATAAAAACATAAATAGCTTTAATAAGAATAAGGATGTTCATACCTTAAACACTAGGAACTAGAGGTGGGCGATGCAAACCGTATACTGATACGAAATCTATATATTGGTACAATATCTAAAACCGCTTACTGGTGCGTTTCAAAACTATGTATTACAAAATCTGATATTTGCGTACCGCCGCGATGCCTATATCGCTCCGCATCGGTCGGTGGCTAGATTCGCCGTGTACGATGGAGCGCGAGCGATATAGGTATTATACCGGTTCGTTCGAAAACTATGTATAGATAATACACTAACTACCCGTATAATAAAATCTGATATTTGCGTACCTCCGCGATGCCTAAATCGTTTCGCATCGGTCGGTGGCTAGATTCGCCGTGTGCGACAGAGTGCGAGCGATATGGGTATTAGATTAGACATGGCGGAAAATTAAAGTCTTACTAATATGTTATATTTGTACACTACACTAAATAATAAAAAAAAAACAATTTCACTAAATGTTAATTAACTTCCCTAGTAATTATTTTTCCAATTTTTTATATAAATCCCTTGTAATATTTTGATGAAAATGTAAACTAAACAAAATAATATTAAACTGGCGCCCCTTTGTTTAAATTACTACATATCAACCAATAATTGAGTCAATATCGTAACAATAAAGTACATAAAATTAACATCAACCACTAATGAATTTAGTCAATAGCGTTACATCTATGTGTTAAAAATATCATTTCGTACCTACGTTTTAATAAAAACAACACTTCAAAAGATTTAACCGCAAACGATTTATTTAATATGATAATTGTCAAAAACTAGTTCAGCATAAAATATTGGATATAAGTTTGACTTTAAGTATATATATTTAGCAATTAATTGTTACAATCCTTATTTTTAGACATGTGAATGTTAATGTAATAAATCTTAAAATTGCTTTGTAAACCGCCATCTACTCCATTTTATAGGTAAAGTCATTTTATCGAACGAACATTGATTGACTCCACAGACTAATATGATACTAATTGACTCTCAAGGTGTAACGTAAAGAAGACGCTAGATGGCATAAATACGGCTAGGTAAGAAATCGATCTTGGATGATTTTGAATGGACTGGAATATAATAATTATATTTATTATCGTTTATTTTATTTATTTAATAAATTTGCAATTTCTTTAACTGTTTATTTTAACAGTTAAAAGATATATTAACCATCTTTATTTAAATACTTCCGGCCGAGACAAATACAGTAGTAGGAGCGGTATTGAGCGGTATGGCAATTTCTTCCCAGTCGCGTAACCCAGTTGTATATGATTTAGAACCTAATCATCATAACTTTACGAACTATTTTTATGACATCGTTACGTTACAAAATTATTTCATTACCTTTAATCATAGATGCAAGAATTTAAAGTTTAAATTATGTTGCCTAATAATGATAAATTTCAAATCTGATTGTTTTTTAAAGTCTAAAATCGAGTGCATTTTATAACATTATATTATATAGAATTTTCAGTTTATTTTAGTTCTAACAGATCTGCCAGAATAAATGTAGTGGAAGGAGAAAGTTGCAACTTTTATCCTTTTAAATGCAATTTGTGATGTAAATAAATAATAAAGACACTGTAAATACCTACTATTTTATATTATATAATTTATTGAAGTATTTTAATTGAGTATCTAGTGTTGTAAATAAATAACTAGTTCCAAATTTTAATATAATAAAGTTAAAACTACAACTATATCTGCATTAGCTCCAAGAAGATAACATAATATAAATTTACTATAATATATCTACAATACTGATTCGCATCGAATAGGTAAGAGCAACTATAAAATCCTCGTATCAGATTTCAACAGCGTATCGGAGTAGAAAATATCAACAAGTGTACGCAGAATATATAGATATTGAAATATATAGTTTTGATATCATATATTGAAACGCGAAATCTGATTTAGATACGATTCTCCGAAAACGCGGTACGACCCAGGCCTGCTAGAAACAAACATAAACTTGTAATGCCAGTTACTAAACTCCACAGAATTAGTAAATAATTTATGGGGCAATGTATACGCTTTTTCAACAAAATCCCAGAACATGTTCAAAGTTTGTCAATAAACAAGTTTAAAAGTTTTATTAAAGAAAAACTGTACAAAAAGGGTTATTATAATATCAAGGAATGGTTCTATGAAAATTCATTTAAAATTGTATAAACAAAATTATTGTTGAGTGAAATTATGTTTAAAAAAGTCGCCCTGGATTTCTTGCTGGTTCTTCCCAGGACAGAGGTATTTCCCGAACCAGTGGTAAATAAAAAAATGACTTTCAATAAGTATTATGTAATAATCAATATTTAATAAAAATCATTCTATTCTATTCTAATATACATTTGGTTAGGCTGAATAGGAATAGATCCCTTTGCCTATATTTGTGAACAGCTCTATGAAACTGACAAGTTGAATAATTGAATATTGACTGTTGACATATAAATATCAAAAATTGTTGTTTCATGTTTCATCTTCGTTCTTTTCTCTCGTTCGTTAAAACGTGCTATAGTTATAGTGATTTTTATATTTTCCGATGAATGTGAAATACCCAGGTTAACGTACATCGTAGTGAAACTTAAATAATTGACAATTAAGGGTAAATAACGCATCTAATTCACTATTATAATTGCTTGAAGTTGTCAAAGTTTTTATAATAATTAATTCAAAGAAATGGAGTTTCCCCACATTGGAAAGAATTGTTCATATTCATCATGCAATAAACTAGGTAAGTGACGTAATCTTTTGTTAATAAGTAAGCCTCTATTGCATTTTTGTTATACTATTTCTGTAAAGTCGACCTATTAGCCAGTTTTAAAAATTACTTTTTAATTTGTACTTATTTTTTTCATTAATGGCTTTTATATTTGCTGATAGATTTCCTGCCAATGAAATGTGGTGCTTGCAAAGAGATCTTTTGGTGAGTAATCATTTCTTAAATAGAATGCTAATCATTTAGAGTTCCCTTCATTGTTATGGGATACTAAATTATTTACTTTCTATTCTAATATTTGATAACTGATCAATTAACATATATTGTTATAAAATTGTGTTTAATATTTTATGTTTTTGTAGTAATAAGAAGTATATTACCATAATTAAGTACATTAATACCTAGTTACAATAATTGTCAATAATTAAATAAGCTGAAATTTTCTAAATCTGATTTTATTTACAGCTCTGTAATCAATTGTACATTGCTCCTCACAACTAACAATAGATAAATATAATACGGAAACAGAAAATCTCTGCTGCATTATTATACATTTTATATCAATTATAAATGATTTAATTTTGTCTTGATTATTATTCTTCTTTTCAATAAATTGGGATCTGATGAATGCCATAAAAAGCAAGTAGGAGAGTTTATGTTATGAAAACTGTAAGAGTCATAAAAATGCCAAATAACTGTCTCCAAAAATGTAGACTTTAAATAATTAGACTAATGATATGATGAAACTTTAAAGATGTATTGCAATTGCCATAACCTACCTGTTTTGGTTTGACCTTATTTTGTGTTAAAAAATATCAACCTCACCATTACAATGCCTGTCTCGTGGAATTATCTAAATAAATTGCACAAGGACCTATATCCAAACTAAAACATTATTTACAGGCCAGTATTCAAATTGAATCCACACCCAAACCTTAGCTTATGTCACCATTGTGTTATCAATTAATGTGGAAACTTTCCAATTACGACAAATCTCAATTGAAAGGAGGTTTTACTCCAGTGGAGAATAAAAATAGATGATAATTGATATAATAAGTTTCTTACTCTTGGCATACTTTAAGCACTTATTTTTAAATTACAGCTCAGAGCACTTTGCATATTTAAAACATGAGTGTCCGGCACAAAATACCAAAGATGTCCAGGTTCCAGACTGTCCACTTTGTGGTGCCCCAGTACCTGGGCGGCGGGGTGAACCACCTGATGTTGCTGTTGGTGCCCATATTGACAACCAGTGCACTTCTGACCCAGCTAAAGAAAGAAGAAACAAGGTGACTTACCATGTTTTAACCGATTCGTTGTGGTGCCAATTTTCAACATAAAACAAATATTTCGTGACACGTCTGTCGAGACAAGCGTCAAGTAATGTTCTTTTTTATGCTTTTTTTACTTGTTTAGACCTAATTAAGTTTAGTTGACATAAAACATCAGTTGCAAATGGAAGGATACTTGTTTTTAGTGGGTAAATACGTTTTTTTTCTATGTGTTTTCTTTGAAATTGAAAAGAGTAAGTGACTTTTTTATGCATAGATTACAAACCTTTTGTACTATTTTTTGTTTTATAAAAAAATAATTTATATAAGTAGGTACAGCTAAATCACCCTGGAAAACCTTGGTTTTTATTACATTAAATTTTCACCTAATAAAAACATTTGTAAATATCAATCAATGAAGAACCTTAATTTGGAAAAAAATAAGGTTTATGATTCATTGATATTTACAAGTATTTTATTTAATGTTTATTTATTTATTTATTTATTTATTTATTTATTTATTTATTTATTTATTTATTTATTTATTTGTAAATGTAAATGTAAAGTCAATCTGAAAACGTCTAATTAGTAAGAATAGCAAAACAAGTGTTTTCAAAAGGAAAAAAAACGCCGGTGCTATACGGCGGCGGATTGACAAAAGACTATTAATTTATTAGCAAACTTTTTTTAATTATAGAACGGTTTCGAACTGTTTCAAGCAAAAATAAACCTTATACCATATCACAAGAGCACATGGTACTTCGTAGGTCTTTTCGGCCATATTATAGTAATAAGACGGCAGTTCAACCGTTTTAAGCAAAATTAAACAATAAGACAAACGCATTGTTTTCTTTTAACAGGAGACTTGTTTTCCAGAAATTTATTTACAACTTGAGTTTGTGAACGATCGCAATAAGTGCTATTATTTGTTACTTATTAGACTATTTTTCCACAACGTGATTTAAAACCGACAAAGTAAAAAGAGAACCATGTACAAGTTAAAAAAAGGTTGTCAACCCCTAAAAATTTCAAATTTTCAAAATATCCAGAAACGGAGCTGCAGGCATGAACTACTTGCAAAATAATGAATATTTTGTTCTGGATAAATCTTCCAAAAAAGTAATTTGAGCGGGAATAACGATTTTTAAAAAGACGACTCGCGTGTCACTCGCCACACACGCCTGGCGTGTCACTCGCACTGAACCGGTGAAAGCAATTTATTATCATTTCAGAGTGATGAAATTATAGTATGTAAGTCAATTTATTTTCTCACAATCATGATAGGACAATTTAAAACATAGAGATATAAATTATAAAATAATTTGTGCTGATGACCATGGTAGGCTTTTCAAAACCTATTTTTACAAGACAAGGATAAGATGTAGGTGTCATTGATGTTGTACATGAGCATTTACTGAGGAATCATTAGAATTACAATAAGTATTAATTTTGTATTCATGTATTTGTGTGTATACTTGTTTAAATGTATACAATTATACTATGAATATGTGTTAATATATGTAAATATATAGATGTTATGCCCCATAGCTGCCCCTGCAAAGGTCAAATATCCCGGGGCCCATGAGCGGAAGATTCAACGGGCAGCCGCGGGTTCGAGGCCGGATGGCCATATGGAGAAATGTCCTATCATACTAAACTGTAGGGAAAAGGCCAGAAAAATATAGTACGTACCTGTATCCGAATCTAAGACCGCCCCAAGGTTCGGTCAGGCCGTAGGTGGGTGTAAGGTGCATGGAAAGTAGTGTTTAGTGATGTGTATGTGTCTGAGGCCTGTCCCAGCTGAGGAGACCGGCAGCGGCCGATTTCCATGCTGTCCCACAATGCTGCATTACTCCAGCAGGCTTCCCCGCTGGACCATTTCTTTCTTCATGTCACTATTTCAGTCTATTAACTTCATTGTACATTTAACTGACTTAAACTCGCCTAATTCCTCATTCATCGTAGAATCGAACACGTGATACCTGACACAGTAACGGACAGTAGTTCAAAGTTCAACATTCAATGTCCCGGATTCATTTATCACCAAATTACGAATAGTGAACTAACGCGATCTCTTCATGAGTCACACGGTTCATCGTTACAAACACAACTAAATTCCTTCGTTCGATATGAAATACTACGCCGCGATAAAAATTCAAAATCCGCCTCGTTGACACGTAAAACTAACAAAACAGTCAACACACAAAAAAGGGCACTTAACGCGACGGCACCATTACAATGATCTAAAAAACAGTCAACCGGTGACGCCCTCGAAAAAGGAATGCGCTGTCCAAATTCTAAACAGTATCTCTAATCGGCGCGCGCGCAATTCCACGTCACACGAGCAAGTTAAATGTTACAAAATGCACTTCAACACGCATTCACTATCTGATTTTCACAATTACTTTCAAAGAAGTTACTTTAATCAGTCAAACACAATACAAGCCTCTTGTCAAGAACTTACACCCTAGACAACCTAAAACGAGGCGGTTTTCACGAAACACAATCACGTAGCGAAGTCACGCGCACAATTTCCAAAATTCTAGACCCTAATCAAAAAAAAAACCGGTCTCGCGAAACTTCAGCGGCGGGCATCGAAAGACACCAATTAACTGCCCAGCCGCCGTCGAGCTACTATCTCTTAGCCCAGCGCCGGAATCACCGGAGCCGGTACACCACCGCCCCCGCACTGCGACCCGCGCGACACCTGGCACCATCAGGCGATTCACGAAGTCGAACGTGATTGGATGTCGTACAAATTACCTTTTTTGGGCCTAAACAATAGATATAATATATGTATATTTTAAAATATGACGAAGTAAATAATGCTATATCTAAATTAGTAAATTGGTTCAATGTTAATAATTTGCATTTAAATGGCACTAAAACGAAAACGAAATGTATGAAATTCATGACTCCAAATGTCAAACAATTAAATACTAATGTAATTTTAAATGGGGAGAAACTGAGTCTTGTAGATACCACCATTTTTCTTGGAATCACACTAGACGCGAAGCTTCAATGGAGCCCCCATATATCAAAACTAGCAAGCAGACTTAGTTCTGCAGCATATGCTGTAAAAAAGATTAGAAGTCTAACCAGTGTTGAAACAGCTAAGACTAGTTTACTTCAGCTATTTCCATAGCATAATGTCGTATGGTATTTTGCTATGGGGACACGCAGCTGACACTGAAATTATATTTGTTTTACAGAAGAGGGCCATAAGAGCAATTTATGATTTAGAGCCTAGAGTCGCTGCGACAAAAATTTAAGGAAATTAATATATTAACTTTGGCCTCTCAATACATTTATGAAAATGTAATGTACGTACACAAAAATAAAAGTCGTTTTACAAAAATAAGTGATATTCATTCTGTAAATACTAGGAACAGACACAAGCTAGTAGTACCAGTTACTCGACTCTATGGAGTCAGTAATTCATTCTTGGCGCGATGTATACGCTTTTACAACAAAATTCTAGAAAATATACAAAGTTTGACCTGCTTAAAGTTCAAAAACTTTATTAAACTAAGTTTGTATAAAAAGGGTTATTATAATATTAAGGAATATACTTACAATATTATATCACTATTTATTTTGTTACATATAATGTGTATTTATTTTGGTTTCTATTCTTTTTTTTTCCTGTTAATTGCTACACCTATGTCAAATTCTCACTCATGGAGGGTTGAATGGTAGAAAATGCTAAGCATTAAGTCCACCCTTTGTATCATTTTTTTTTCTAAGGAAATGCAATAAAGATTTTATCTCTTTCACTGTCTGATTGTCAGACACAATAGTAAGACAACAGCAATGACCTATACAAAGGACAGCAAATTGGTTAAAATAAATAAAATAATAAAAAGATGCTATACCAACCCCCAGGAATAAAATGGCATGTTTTCACATCACTCAGTATACAAACACAAACATCAGCAACATTTTGCTGCTGTTTATAGACTTATAGGTCCTTTCTTGGTTGAGCCGACCCACATGTACTTTAGATATAATATGCTGCAGTTACGTAAAATGACACACCTTAGACTGATACATACTCTCCATGTGTTCACAATACAATGAAATAATTATATTCTTTTCTTATTTCAGGTATTTACAAACCGGTGCTCCTATAAAGGATGCAAAACAAAGGAAATGGTGCCCCTAATATGCAGTGAGTGCTCCCTTAACTACTGTCTGCGACATAGGCATGCTGCTGATCATGCATGTGAAGGAAAATTAGCAGCTAAGAGAAGACAGGCTGCGTAAGTTATTTAAAGTATTAGGGTTTAAATATAACAAATATCATTTTGTTAATTTTGCTATATGAATTAACCAAGTTTTCATGCTGTTCATTTATTTTATTTTAACAGAAATGCTGCAATGGCAAGAATGAAAGCAAATGCTATTAATTCGAGTCAGACTGCACCACCTGTAGCTGTGCCTGTCGCATCTTTTTCAGAAGTTCAAGGAGATATGGTAAGTAATATTAACTCAATGAAAATAAATGCAGGTTTATAATACAAGAGAATGTGGGACATATATTATATTAAATAGTCTTAATTAATTTAACTCTATGTAGTGGCGTTGTAACAATATCCATTACCCCGTGTCATTCTGAGGGTATCATAAAAGGTGACAGAGGACAATGAAACAAGAGATAGGCCATTTATAGGATTTCTCACCCTATCCTATAAAAAAGGCAAACAATAAAAACTGTGATTGTAAACTTGCTTGCCAAGGGTGGCAGTCAATGAGGGAGGCCTATGAACAACAGTGGATTTTTTTTATAGGCTGTAATTGTAATTCATTAAATTCTGCAAGATATATATAATTTGTTTTGAAACTGTGTCAATCATCATTAATATTGGACTGTCATGATGATGATGATGAATGGTACACAAGTTGAATTTATAAAACCTCTATTGAACATAGGTCTCCCTCTTTCATTGTTTCTACAAATCATAGTTAATTAGCGTTTAGCCATCTAGCAAGTTACCCTTAATGGCTGGCTTATTGTCACTTTCATATGACCATAATAGTAACTCTGTTTCTACAGTGTATATTCCTATCATAAATTCTTGCACAATAAATACAAGTGAAATTAAAAATTTTGTACAACTGGCTTCAATATAAATTATTAAGGATAATTCAAAAACTACTGGTCAGACCTTTATCAAATTTATATGGGGACATCTTTCAAATAAAAAAAGAATCATCAAAATCGGTTCACCTAGAAAAGTTAAGTGGTAACAAAAAAAATACAGTCGAATTGAGTACCTTCTCCTTTTTAAGTCAGACTATAATTTTAAAGTAACACAGTCCACATACGAGGGCGGGTCAAAAAGTTCGAGGAATAGAAGGGGTAAGAAAGGGGATGGGGGATTTTTTAAATGTCACTACTTGGTGACTCAATGCAACTATAAATATCAAGTTTCAGCTACATCGGTTCGTAGACCTTTGAGACATCACAAGATAAACAAGAATATCGGAAATGAACACTAACTATGGAAAAAATTGAGTTTCCTGCCGTAATTAAGTTCCTCACTAAGGAAAGAAAAACGGCACATATCATTATTGAAGAGATGTCATCTGTTTATAGGGACTCTTGCCCTGGAAAAATAGTAATTTAGAAGTGGCATAGCCTTTACAAGCAAGGCAGAAACTGACAGACCGACCAGTTGTGGCAACTTCTTCAGACATTGGCAAAAAAAAATTCTCCATAACCATCTTGGTATGTCTAAGGTTAGGGCAAGATGGGTGCCAAGAATGCTCAGCAGCAGCGGGCCGAGTGTTCGCGCGAGTTTTTGAACTTGTATAGTGGAAACAGGGATGAAATTATGAACCGAATCTTGACTAGGAGGATGAAACTTTGGTTTATCGCTATGAAGCTGAGTCAATGCAGGAGTGCGTGCAGTGGCATAAAAAGGCGCAGCACCGCCTAGGAAGTTCAAGTCTATCGGCTCGATAGACTATGGCTTCAGTTTTTTGGGAATGAGAGGTGATTTTATTGATCAACTAGCTGTTCCTCGCGACTTCGCCCGTGTGGAATTTACTACGATTTCATGGGTTTTAATTTTTTGGGCGGAACCCTAATTCTTTTTTTTAAAATAAAAGTATCCTAAGTTACTCCTTATAACATCAGCTATCTGCCAGTGAAAGTAACGTCAAAATCAGCCCAACCGTTTCGGAGATTAGCCGGAACAAACAGACAGACGTCTGTCTGTCTGTTTGTATATACTTTCATATGCATTTAGTAAAAAGCTGTTATGTTAACATTACAAACAGACACTTCAATTTTATTTATTTGTATAGATTATAGAATAAAAATATGAAATAAGCAGTGCCTTTGTACAAAATATCTTTTTTATTTTTCATTGTAACATTACTTTGTGTGTATATAAATTGTTAAATATATAAAAATTAAAAAGTGCGATTGAATAAAAAAGAAGGGGAAAGTCTCGAGTTATGCTCCTTTTGCACAACAAAACAGTTCGAAAGAGTCATGTTGCAATAGCTTCCTTACACAAGTGTGGCTTCAAAATTTGAAAGGTGTAACTGTCATATTTCAGAACATAAGATTTCCTATTACAATATATACATAAGCAATGAATTCTTTTTTCAGACGGAGGATGAGGCGTTAGCGCACGCACTTGCACTCTCAATGCAAGAACAAAGTGGAAATATACATACAAGAGACACTAACTTTGCCAGAGCTCTTGCAAGACAGCGAGTGGGCGGGGAACAGAACTCTAGGTGTTCTGTATCTTAGCATTATTACACTTTAAGAAAGCACTTAATCTCTATCAGCTTCTTCTTATTCAATTGTGATATAGTTAAATTAGCTTTTTATATTCTATCAGTACACTACAGGATATTAAGATTGTTAACTTAAATATAAAAATATTTGCCAATTTATTTCATTTAAATATCAATTACATGTACAAACATTTACAGTTGTAAATGTGCATAAAATTGAATTTTATTATTAATGAGTATATTGTTGACTTTATTGTATTTACATAAAACATGCATGAAGATATTATGAGTTGAAATTGCACATTTTTATATGTTTAAAATGATGTAACCGAAGATTGTAGAGTACACTGTAACCTTGGGTTAACAAAAGTCTATTTACTTGCTTGCCTTGAAAGACGCCAACATTGTAATCAAAACATTTATTTTGCTACCCTTGTACATAAAGACTCACTTGTAATAAAGCTTAGAAAGATAGCATGAGATTCATGATAAATCGCACATTAAAAACAAGATTAGCCTTATCCAAAAATCGCAGTATAAAGTTTTGAAGATTTTTATAATGTCAATAATTAGAAAATGAATTGAAAAATAAGCATTAGGGTTGTATTGAACAATGGTTTGTGTATCGTTCTCTCAAAATCAAGTTGTTTAAAGACAGTTTACAAGTAGTTAGTGGACAAAAAATGGGTTGAGTTCAGCAAACCACCTCGTGTATTCATACTGTTATCTAACAGAATGGGTAATGCAAATTTGAGAAATAAAACTAAATTTACGAAGAATATTTTTTTTTTATAAAGCCTAGTAATTCTAAATCAGTTTACAATGGTTTCATTATAAAGAAAATTGCATTTTATGAAATTAAATTTAAAAAAAAATAGTCTTCTTTCACCGAAATTAACTCTCAATCAAAATAACAAAGATAAGTAAAGTTTAAAACAAATCAGTAAACAGTAATTTTAAATTAAATTTTACTAAAATAATATTTTACTTCATCACTAACACACATAACTTTCTATCAGTGAGATCAATGAAACAGATCTATAGGTAAATTATATTATATTTTCAGCTTTAGTTAAAAATACCTTAATAATAAGAACTATAAAATCTAGGTATCATCCCAGCATATATTCTTCACATCACTTTTCTTACTTTCGGAAATATCCAATTTTTGCTGATAGTACCTACAACTATTTCAGTTCTTGGGGTGATTGGTTTCGTGTCGTTGTTCGTTTAGTCACATCAAGTTCATTAGTTTCAAAGTATGACTTTTTATAGAATATTCTGATCTCTCTGCATTCTTCTCAATGTTGATGAATTGGATGTCGAATAGCTTCAGCTACTTGAATGTCGTTCGAGACTTGGCCATCAATACTTTTATTTAGCCTAGGGGCTAGCAGTTGCTTAATATCCATGAAGTCACCGTATCCCATTTGGTTTACAACGTATTGCGTTCCGCCTTTTTTAGCTTTTCGAATGGCATATACATATTGAGAAGATACGTAAATGGGTGCAGGCAAGTTTAAAACAGCCTAAGTGTACATGCCATGTATATCACATGGCAATTATAAATTGTTCTTTTTTTTTTGCTTACCACCAGCAGTTATCTAAATACAAAACTACATCAAGATTGACCTATATAAAATATACTAACGATTCGATCGGTCGATCCACATTCTTCACGATCTTTCCCCAACGATGGAACAGTCGCATTGATGTATTTAAGTGATCAAGAGCACATTAAAATACTTATGTTTTCCAGTGGCACACAATTTCCTGACGAAGCAGATTTATGTTCCATATGGCAAAGTAATTTCCTGTAAATACCTTTTAATTGGCGAGCATTTGGGTTATCATTTAACTCATATGCATCCATAACGCACCAAAAAAATAATTTTCTGTGATTTAGACTAATGCGAGCGCCAAGAAATCCTGTAAATGATTGTGATTTTAGAACTGGTGATCTTATTAATACCAGTTTTTTTGATGTTCCTTATAAAACACTTCATTTTTATTTCCAGTAAATAAATGCTTGTAACCGTGTGCATGTAAGTTTCTGGAATATAATGTATCAAAAATATTATTCATAATCATTTTCTGTTTCTCCGCTTTCCAAAAAGTCAGGCAACTTTAGCTCTTGTCGACAAAATTAAATTTCTACAGAAACACTTCTGTTAAGAAACTGGGTTGCCAACTTCACGTTCAATATGGAGTTTCTGTATTGAATATGTTTTCTTGTAAGGTGGTTAGCAAGATGCAAACCAGTTTCTTCTTGTAGTTTGGCTAGCTATTTTATGTATTCCCATTTAATTTCATCATCTTTATATGGACGTAGTTATACAAAAACGTTACAACCCACAAATCATTCAAAACTGATTTAAATATAAAGATATACTTATTTTGACATCTTTGCGAATTGGAGGCCACGAAAACATAAAACATCTTTGTACCTAGATAAAATGGACGGAGTTATACAAAAACGTTCTTCGCGAAGATGTCAAAATAAGTAGATCTGTATATTTAAATCAGTTTTGAATGATTTGTGGGTCTATTGCCACCTCATAATCGGCACATGGATGTTTAAAAGTTGTATTCAGCTCTTTTGGGTTTTTGTACATGCAACCCAACACTTCCATGGCTGATAAATTTGAGCTGTGGCCACATCAAACGTCAGAAAAACAATTTCTTTACAAAGAAAACAATAACATATTTTTTGTAAAGAAATTGTTTTTAAAAGAAAAAACTTGAAACCAAAAACAAAACAGGTGTTTGGCGGTGTTTCACCCCGTGCCTCGGAAAGCACGTGAACAACGGCCGGCCCTGCGCCTGATCATTCTCCGGTCGTGTCGGATATCCGATCTTAGGACTATGAGAATGAGGGAATAGAGAGTGTACTTGTGTATGAGCACGCACTCGTGCACTATAATCTTGTCCTGCTCAGATGGCTAGTCTCCTTTGAGACTGGCCACCGTGACCGCAATTCTGTCTCGAGAATTTTATTATTATTTGCCTCAGTTTTTGCCACCGCGCTTGGCAGGCGAGTTAGTAACCGCAGTTTTTTTATTATTTTGAGTTGTTGCCAGGAAAATGTTTGAATTGCTGCCCATAACCTGTTTCAGTGTCTCTCGGTCGCCTCTTACGACACCCACGGAACGTAATGCGGTAGCGGATATTTGTACACCTACATTACTGTGTAGCAATTTTCAAATACAATATGAAAATAAAAATTTGTTTGATACTCTGTTTTTTTGTTTATAATTATGAGGACACATTTATAGGTCTCCTTGTTTGTAGCAGATGTAAACTGATTAAGAACTATGGATACATATCGTAATTTATATAAAAAAATACTGTTTCATAAGTATACGCTAAGTCGCCGTATAAATTATCGATCATTATTCTATGAATTATAAAAATAGGGTAAATTTTGGCAAAGTTGGAAAGTTAATAATTTTAGTAATTCTTTTGTAACGTCTATGTTTTTACTTTGATATAATAATAATAAGTGGTCCAATTTATATTTAAGTAATTTTCAAAATCATAATATTATATCATTGACACATTCCCGGTTTACTACCCGAAACCGAAGTTACTAGCTAAAAATCCACGAATTTACAATTGAATGTTCAAGAATATTAAAAAATGATGTTATCAATGCTCTGCTGAGGAAAAAGTAAAGATATTTACGTCCCGCACTGCACCGACACCTCTCATTGGAGGGTTTTAGAGCAAGGTAAGTTTTTAAGGGAAGGTGGGGCATTTGGGATTATTTTCATTTATATCTTAGTTAAGACTTGCTAATTTTTACTTCAATCATATTCAACACATCGGAGAACTAAATTATAATAATATTTGTTTATTATTTAAGCTGTTATCACAAATATCACTTATGCTATTGTTAACTTTATTAAGTGTAATTTATTGGATTATATCATATTAATACAAATATTATGTATTGAATGCGAAATAAATATATTTTTGAGATAAATATTGTTCAAATTGTTTTATTTGAATCCAAATATACATTTTTTTAAATATGTAACAAAAATATAACCAACAACTTATGTATATACCTCGACCTATATGTATGTATAACAATAAAAGATATGTTTAAAATCATATATTACATTGTAAATATATACCCTAATTCCCAGCACTAAACACGGCCTTATTTATAAAGTTAAAGTCAATTTATTAAATGCTTAACGTTGCCTTCTCTCTTTCTCCCCATCTCTCGACAATAGAAAGAGACAGGTATTGAGATAATTAATATTTCATTAGCGATAATCAACGATTATAAGTAAGACCGTTAATGTGTAGATATACTATTAGCACCATTTTAAAAATTTCGCCCGGGCATAAAAGTTCTTGTTCATCATCGTTAGAACTTGATATTTTATTCTCAACAAACAATCATATAGACACAAAATACATGAGTGTATACAAAATTATTTTTTAGTTATTATAGGCCAGTATCCTCCTGATGGTTAGTGGCGTGTAGTCTTAAGCCGCGTCTCCACCAAAGTTTTGTTACCAACTGTTGTGTTTGCTAACACGTGTTGGTAAAAAATGTTTTTGTAATTACCAAGTGCTGGCAACAAAACTTGAAACAATGTCGGGAACCGTGTTTCCATTTTCGGCGGCAACATCAAAGGAATACGCTTGTTGGAAACATTTGTTCCCTCGATGGAGACGCTTGTTGGAGACATTTGTCGGCAACATCGGAAACAAATGTTGGTAACTTTTGTTGAGTGTTAAACAGTTGGAAACATAAATGTTGTCAATATTTTTGGTGGATACGCGGCTTTAGACAATAAAACGCGCTAGCATAGCTTTTCACTTGCCAGGGTTTGTCGAAGAAAGGACGAACGCTGGCACATTAATCCAAAGTATTTTACAGGTTGGGCTTGTATTAAGGTAAGACAAGCTACTTCGGTGTAAAGTTACACCCCACCTTTGTAAGAACACTCAATTTGCAGTTGCTTTGAGCTTGCCTGCCCGAAGTTGAGGTTCGGGGAAATTTCAACTCTAATTGGAGGCGGTTAGTGTGTTCCAAGTTATACATCCTAGTAACACAGTCTATAAATCCATACAGTCGTCCGACGAAGACGTCTAGACAGGGCAGTCGTGCGGGGTGTAAGGGGTGAGACGCGGGAAGGACGAGCCCGAGCTGCTCATGCCAATCGTATTAGTAGCTCGGGACACGACTTCCAGGGTTAAGGCGCGTTTGCTTTTATAATTTTTAAATTTAGTGTTGATACTTATAATTAAAATGGTTCATACGACGTGTGCTGTGAGAGATTGCAAATCGTCATATAGCATAAATAAAGATCTGCGATTTGACGAAATCCCGCACACGGAAGAAAGGTAAATAAATATTGTTATTATTTTTTTTACATTATGGATATTTTAACATTTATACCAAATTGCCAACGTAAAAAATAGGTACTAGTCGCTGGGCATTACTATTTCGAAGTTTGATTTTTTTCTTCATCTAAATCGTGTGGTTGGACAGGCTAAGGTTTTAGACCATACTATAGTGCCTCGTCTTCGGTCTTTCGAAGTTTTTTATAAAATATTAAGATGTAGGGGTCAATTTTTAGGTTTGTCGGGGTGCTAATTACGAAAATAGCATTTAATTTTATATCCATGATCGCGGACATTTTTTTAATAATATGATATGGGTATTAATTTCGAGGTTTCTTGTGGTGCTGATTACGAAAATGGACTTCATTTTTAAATCCAAGATGGTGGACATATTTTTTTAAATGTTATGGGTGTCAATTTCAAGGTTTCTTGGGGTGCGAATTACGAAAACGGCATCAGTTTTCATATCCAAAATGGATTTTTTGTTAATAATACAATATGGATGTTAATTTTATGATAATTATGAAATATTTTAGTGATAATTATGAAAATTTATTAATAAGTAATGTATTTAAAATTTTCAGATGAAAATTATGGATGGAAGTTATTGGAAGACCTGATTTAGTTGGAAGAACTATCAAAAGCCTAAAGAATCAATTATAAAATAAACTGATAATTCAATGTCTGTAGTCATTGTAACGTTAATAATAATATGGATTTGATATCTAGCTAAGAGTATAAGAACGATTTTATGTAGTGAAGTTGAGGTATGGCTACATATCGACAGTAGAGCACTCCCTCACGTTGTGAGGCGTGCAATTAACGTTTTGAGTACTTTTAGGAAAAATCTAAGAACAAATTGTTACTTATTTTTTATATTAATAATCATGGTGTTGATGACGATGTAGATTTAAAATAAATAATTAAATTAGTAGAAGTTGTTAATTTGTGACAACCCTAACCTCCATCCGCTGTCTAGATGTTGTCGGCATTTACCACGAGATCAAAAGCGTCGTCCTACTGTATGTTTATTATACTGTGCTAGTAAGATAGGAAAGAGGTTTGCGATCGCCTCTGTGCGACAAGCAAACGCGCTTGTGTTTCGGTATAGTTGAATCCCAGAAGAATGGCATTTCACCTTTCTGAGACGGCCTGCAATAAGAAATTCGTACATTCTACCACAGCTTCTCTTTCGGACTGAATATAATCCCGACTGCCCCGGTAAATCGGCTAATATCTCTTTAGGAATATGCTGTGACTTGCGTTCGAATAGAAGGGGTGGTATATGAATAGATGTAGCAAAAAGAGACCATTTACTCAGCCCAAACCCAGGCGAATTAGCCGTGGATTTCGCAAAAGGCTACAGTGGTTTAGCAAGCTATAAAGCCTTCGAAACATCAAGTAAAATAGTTAGTTTCCACTTTTCTAGATCGTCTACTTTCTTTTCAGCTTGTGCACATTCGGCGAACTATCTATCAAAAAAGTCCAAGTACATCAGTTAATGAATGAATGAAAAAAAAATTATTAATTCCAATACACTTAATTGTACTTATAAAATACTCAATAATTTAGATACGCTATCTTTGGTGTCTTTTCTTTAAAAATGATGTATAAACAATAAACAGAATCAATTCTTATAATTACAAACAAGTACTTGAAGTTGGCCCCTAACTTACACATACTATTTATGACCCTGTCGTTTAAACCCGCAATATTTCTAAATCCTTTCGGACGCATATAAAGTATGTTTTTATTAATTTATATCTTTGATTATTTTTTATTTATATCTAAACTCTTGGAGCAATTATTATTGTCAGTCCCTTTTCCCAAAATGTATCCCGAATATATTATAAAAAAAGGATTTTTTTTTTTGCAATTTACAAATTGCTCAAAAGAGCTTTGTTATGCAACGTTCGGAATTTATGATTGTCGTTTAAATAAGTTGTGATAAATTCCGGAGGGTGTCTTGTAAAGAATAATTCTAAGCTCATATATTTGGCAGCAGTCAAACGTTTGCGCTCTGCGTTTGATCTGCAGAGGTTTTTGTGAGCGTGGCTCGCGAAATTGGTCGCATTTTTCTCTACTAATCTCGGTGTTACACGCTGCTGTGGATCGTCTTCTAGCGGTGGCTGAAAAAAAAACGATATCATAACCATGTTTTTTTTATTATTAAGATTTTTGGCTTGGATGCTTCTCCTTTAAGCCATGTCTTCATTTTTATCTCAGTATCAATTGATAATATTCCTTTATAGTACACAGCTGCACAATGTGTTGATGCGTCACATTGCGCAGCCCTTGGGAGATTTCGACGGCAACTTGAGCTAGCAGACAATTGGCGATATTATCTCTAGGCGCCTAAGCAGGCAGGCACCTTATGTTGAGATTCACATCAACATCGAGGCACTTATTTCACCAATTCCACTAATAGTTCACATGCGCAGACATTTAATACACAAAATCGCACCACTTTTACATATCAAAATTCACTTCAAACCATTTAAACAATAACACAGGAGCAGCAATCCACCGCCGGTCAAGTTGCCGCCAAAAATCCCGTGACCATGTTTATTTTATTTATATATTATATAAAAATAAAAATTCCATAGTTTATGACATTTTTTTTATAGGATAGGGTGACAAACGAGCACACAGTCCACCTGATGGTAAGTGGTTACTGTGACCCATAGACATCTATATTTATGCTCAATAAAGAATCAAAATGCAGATGCGTCGTCATCCGTGAGTACTATGATGGAATGCCTCTTTTCCAGTAAAATGGGTCTCCGGTTCTCCACACTCACCATACGAAACACAGCAGTGTCAAGCTCCCATTTTACGCTGGTATTCTGTGAGAGCGTGGTCCTACCCCGGTCGAGCCGACCCATTCGTGCTACAACTTAGTAGTAACTAATATAGCTGCGGCATGGCTCTACCACATATAATATTAGATTAGCTATTTTTAAATGTGAACCAGTGGTAAATTAAAAAATGACTTTCAATAAGAATTACACATGTAATGTATATTGAATAAAAATTATTCTATTCTATTCTATTCTATAAATCTCAAAAATGTAATAAAATTGTACCAAAAAATGTGCAGAATGACAGATGTTAAAAAGCAACTAATTTCACGAATTTAAATAAAACATCAAACGACCAACCCCGATTCTCCGTAGCCCTAGAATGTATTAATCTATTAATTTGTTAATAGCAGGGAGACACGGAGTGCGCTTAGTTACGCAAGGGAGGAGGGCCTGTATGTTTCCCGAAGATTCAACCTAAGCTACTACTTAAATAATTGAGTTGACTTCCTTCTATTATTGTTTCTCGAAATTTGGGTGATATATACTTAGATTATATTTAAAAACGCTTCGTAAATTATGCTTTCCTAAACTTATTATTTATTATATTATTTATTTTTATTTTTGTTTTGATTGAGATTTTTGGAGATAACCTCAAATTTTTAAAAAAATCTTGAAATCTATGCATGTTTGTACTCACTTTGATTTCTCCGCAGGGGGGTCCCCAAACCCCTCCGCAGGGTTGCCATTTCTAAAGTGCTTACAGTACGTTTAGGAAAACACTCATCATACAGAAATACACTATATACCATAGTTAGATTACACTTTCTATTATATATATTTTTATCTTGAAGATAAAAAATACATACCGAAAACCGTATCCACTGCCATATCTGTGCCCTCGATATTTCCGCCGTAGCTGAATCTTCAACATTGCCATTGTAGAAGAAATGCCCAATACCAGCTAGCCAATGGTATATGAATAGTATGGAGACGGCAACGTTATGCTTCAAACCTTGCAAGGTCACACCTCCCTGCGGTATAGTCAGCAGATCTTGGGCGGTTATATTTACATCCAACTGACGCGTGATTTGATTGGGCGCCGTACCGTTTTTCTTCCAAAGCTTTAATGTAAATTAAAAAAATAAGTTCACAATATTATGTTAAAGAGTAGTGGTACTACTAACTAAATGTGAAACTAGGTTGCAAATTCACCAACCCAAAAAAATGGTTCATGAGACGAGCAATATAGGTTCGGACTTAGAATGCAGTATCTGAAAACCTTAAAAAACGCGCGAAAATTATTTAAAAAAAGAGTCATCCCCACACTAGGGTTTTCTCCAATATAATTTAAAAAAAAATCATCTCGTCGTTGTCATACTAAGGCCAATGAAATAAAAATAATTGATGAGTCAATGTTTTTATCTATACGTCAGATTTCACTTTTTGCTTGTCCATTGAAACCACAACATTAAAATATTTCGAAACAATTTCAGTGTTTGGGTCACGATTACTTCAGTTTTTACTCTTCTCACAATATTGAAAGCGAAATTCTATACAATATAGTTTTATGTAGTTTTTGGTGTCACAAAGTACGTAAAGAAAAAACCCCGAAGCATGGTAAAAACAGTTCTGATTATATACCTATATAATGGGGCCTATACAACATCGTCCATGATGGACGAATACTAGCGATCACGATCGTGTAGAGGGCATAATCGCCTATAATTACCCATGATCGGTGATGATCGAGCGTAATGGCCGCTGTGTCGGTTTTTCGGACAAATATCAAAGGAAGTTCGGCTATGATCGTGCGCGCGTCTTCATGATCGCCGATGCCCTATAAACTTACCTATTTTATCTTGTCCTATTTCGGTGTATAGTTAACATCTACCTTCTTTGCTTCCTTTTTTTTCATCTGTCTTTTATGGTGTACATTTAAAGAATGGTTAAATTATAAACTAATTAATTAAATAGCGGCAGCTGCTACTGTTTCAACGTCCATCTCGGACAGATGACAATACAAATATGTAGGATGCACGATCGTGTGGGTAGCCGCGCAATGATTGTGACAAACATGCCCCATTCTGTGGTTGTCAATCAAGGTCGATGGTGTATAGGCGGGGAAAAAATTTAACAAAAGCTGAAATATTGTGTATGTCCTACTGGTGGAAGGATTCCTTTTCTGCCTAGGAGTCTGTCTGAGTAGATAGCATCCTCTTACCTATTTTTGCTAAATAGCTGTGCCATCACTTCTAATTAATTAATAACACCACTTCTAAATCCTTTATTTACTAATGCCATCACTTCTAAATAATTACAGGCTGTGAGGCAATCCATCTCAGTTCTCAAAGGTGAAAACGCAATAGCTTTTTTTTTGAAGTTCGCTGCAGATGTCCACGGACTGCAGAACCCATTGTTCATTAGGTGAACTGTAAGTACGTTTGTACTCGTAACTCCCGTTTTCTTTTTTAATATCTAATAGGACTACTATATCAGTGTTATCAAATGATAATCATTAACAATGGATCAGTATCAAGCATCGCTGCAAAGAATTTTATTTGGGGTGATAACGTATCTGTCTTTTGTTTGAAGTTCGTTGTTGGTGTCCATAGGCAGCAACCAATTGTACGGTATTGCTAGATTAATGGTTACAGTATTAAATACGTAAATCATGGCTTTTCTGTACCTGACAGTATATTTTAGAACCGATAGTTTTTTTAAAATGATCATTCAGCTATCTATATCAGAGAGCACGACGTTTTGTTTTAGGCGACATTTACTATAGTACAGTAAGCAATATTCCTAAATCCCCACCATACAACCATCAGAATAATAATAATCTCCGCTTGTGTGAAGTGGTCTCAACGCTCTATGTCTCAAAATACAAAAGTTTAGCAAATTTGCGACCTGCCTTTTGACATTTTAGGCATTACGTTGCTAATATATATATATATATATATATATATATATATATATTTTTGGGATAAAGATGACAAGCGAGCACACAGTCCACCTGATGCTAAGTGGTTGCTATAGCCCATAGACAACCACACCTATAATTGTTTGCGAATCAAAATGCAGATGCGTTGTCATCCGTGAGGACTAAGATAGAATGCCTCTTTTTCAGTAAAATGAGCCTCCGGTTCTGTACGCTCACCATACGAAACACAGCAGTGCCAAGCTGCTATTTTACGCTGGAATTCTGTGAGAGCGTGGTCGTTCCCCGGTCGAGCCGACCCATTCGTGCTACAACTATACTAGTAATATAGCTGCAGCAGCATGACTCTACCACGTATAAATAATTATACGATTAATGATTGTAAACTATTATTTATTGCATTTTTTTTTACTGGATGTGGGGTGCTTTTGCTCAATTAGTTTGATTTGTGTTTGTTTAGAGTTTATATGTATGTTGTTTAGTTTTTTTATCATATAATGATGTATACACCTGTAAAGACATATCCTTTGTCTAAAAAAATTGTATTTCGTTCGTAACAATGCATATTGATATTGTCGATGGTGTGTCTATCTAAATAAATAAATAAAATAAATATATTTTTAACTATTATACTATTAATATATTTTTACCTATTATAATTAAACCTACCTCATTTACATAAGGCACCAATCGCACATCGTACACCATAAATCCGTCGACGCCTATTTCTATCTCTTTTAGTTTGGCTTCTAAAACATTACTGACAACAATCTTCGACCTAAAAATAAAAAAATGTATGTCTATGTGAACTAATTAAATGCCCAAATTTTATACGAATAATTAAGGTAATAATTACGGGGTGGGGTTACATCCAATAAATTATATAAGGTATTATGTAAAAAATTCCGAACGTTCAAAGCATAGTCATCTTACAAATGATAAATTTTTGTTTTTTTTTATAGGATAGGGTGACAAACGAGCACACAGCCCACCTGATGGTAAGTCGTTGCTGTGACCCATAGACATCTACATTTATCCTCAATAATTAATCAAAACATAGATGCGTCGTCATCCGTGAGGACTAAGATGGAATGCCTCTTTTCCAGTAAAATGGGTATGCGGTTCTCTACACTCACCATTAGGGTTGCCAGATGGTCGGGATTCGTCTGGATTCTCCCGATATTTTAAATGATCTCCCGACTCCCGACAAAACTCAAAATCTCCAGACAAACAGCTCCTCGAAATGTTAATAATTTAAAATTGAAATGCAACCAAAACGAAATTATGAAATTAAAAAAAATTATATCATTTATGTTGTCAATTCTTGTAAGCAATGCTTATTGTGAAAGGGTATTAAGTTTACTAAATAATTTATATACTAATGAGAGAAATCGTATGGCTATTGATTTAATAAAAGCTGGGTTACTAATTAGAATGAACTTTGAGGAAAATTGTTTAAATTTTAAATCTTTTCTGAATACCACTAAAGGATCCAAATTGGTGGATTCAGTAAAGTCCAATGCCTAATACCTGTGGCAACCCCAAAATTAAGTGTAGTTACATTAATTATCTGTCAACAATGTTAACTATATTTGTATTGTAGCCCATTAATTTTAAAAATTATATTTTTGTTTTACATTTTTATTTTTAAAATTTACAACATTTCATTAACAGTGGATTGCGGAAGCCCGTCTGGCTACATTGAATGTATGTGGAGGAATGAATGATAAGATGGATGAAGTATGCGATATGATGCATGATAGAGGAATAGACATGTTAGGTGTAAATGAGACGAAACGGAAGGGAAAGGATGCCACTACACATGGCATGTATACCGCGTACTGGTCTGGTGTAGACGAGACCAAGCGGGCATGCCAGGGAGTCGGTATCATCCTTTCAGAAAGAATGGGTCATTGTGTGAAAGAGTATGAACGTGTAAGCCCGAGACTGCTATGGATACGAATGAAAGTGGGCTTAAAGAAGTTGTTTGTTTTAGGGGTCTACGCCCCAGACATGTCTAAGCCCACTTATATCCGAGAGCAGTTTTGAGAGTTGGTAAGGATGGTGCTAATGAAATGCAAGGTTAATGAAAATATTGTGATATTAGGCGATTTTAATGGAAGGGTTGGGGTGAGGAGGCTTGGTTATGAAAGGATATTGGGAACGTTTGGTGATGAAAGTATAAATGAGAATGGTGAAAGCCTTCTCGCCGTATGCGTGGAAAAGAATCTTTTTGTGAAGAACACTTTCTTTCGTCACAAGAAGATTCACACGTATACATGGGAAAGAGGTGATGATAGAAGTATGATAGATTTCATAATTGTTGATGAAAGAATGAGGAGCGCGGTGGTAGATACAAGGATTTACCGGGGCTCTAACGTAGGGACGGATCATTACTTGGTTTTATGCTGAATTAATGGTCTTTTCAGACGTTGGAGGCATCGGACATCTGTGCCTAACAACTGCGTTACAGCGTATAAGAACAGAGAGGTTAAAAGATGAAGGTGCGAAAGAGAAGTTCAAATGTAGATTGAGAGAAAATATAAGTGGTATGGCTGAATTGTGTATGAATGATTTAGACTTGGAGACTGTGTGGTATTATACACGTCAAGAAAGGTTTAGTGGATGCAGCTATCGAAGTATGTGGTGTAAGTAAGAGAACGAATGAAAGGAAAAATAACACGTTATGGTGGGATGATGAGGTACGGATGGAAGTTGAAGCAAAGAAGAAAGCATGGCTAGATTTACTAGCAACCAAGGCTAGTAATTCTAGGAGTATGAATGATGATATTGAAAGGGAAAAGGCAGTCTTTAGACACCTAAATAAGAGAGTAAAAGAAGTAGTTGAAAGGAAAAAGCAAGAAAGAACGGATAAGAATGATAGAAGAATATCGGATAACTTCCAGGCAAACATTAAAATGTTCTGGAAACTCGTAAGAACTACCAGGGGACATTCATAACAGCCTAGAATGAATGCTATACGAGACCAGAATGGCTGTATTCTGAATGACGAAGTTTTGAGTTTAAGGAGATGGAAGGAATACTTTGAAAGCGTGTTTATGAGTGATGAGACGTTTGAATTAAATGAAATAGAAATTCCGAAAGAAGAGGAAATAGATAGAGATATAAGTATAGATGAAATAATGAAAGCAATGAAAAGTATGAAAGCAGGTAAGGCAGCCGGTTATGATAGAGTATCTCTCGAAATACTAAGGGCTGCAGAAGGAGTGGTGGCAGACCTGCTGTACACCTTGTTTAATTTATGTTGAGAATTTAAGCGGGTACCGGGAGACTGGTGCAAAGCCGTGATAGTCCCAATATATAAAGAAAAAGAATCAAAGCAGGACTGCCGTGGTATCAGCCTTCTTAGCATTGTGGGTAAACTGTATGCTAAGGCACTAATTGAAAGAGTTATGGAAGAAACTGATGGAAAAATTTGGGATGTGCAAGCGGGATTTAGAAAGGGAATGGGATGTACATCCGTACGGATCAGGTCAGATGACAGAGTGGACAGGGATGTGTTATGGCAAATACTGAACTCATTTGGGTTGAGCGCTGGCTTGATACAGGCATTGAAGTCTCTATATAGGGACTCTAGTGCTTGTGTCAGGATCAACGGGGCCTACTCGGACTGGTTTGGCATCCATAAATGTGTCAGACAAGGCTGTGTGGCTTCCCCGTGGCTGTTCAACTTATTTATGGACAATTGTTTGGAAAATTTGACAGTAGAAGAATGCGGGTTAAGAATGGGCGAGTTAACCGTCAAATGCCTTTTGTACGCCGATGATCAAGTCATACTTGCGTCGTCGGCAGCCGGGTTGCAAATGATGGTTACATTAATGAACAGGACATTTAAAGAAAAGGGAATGAAAGTGAACGCAAGTAAGACGAAAGTTATGGTTTTTGAAAGAGAAGAAAGTAAAACGATATGTGACATAAGAATAGAAGGGGAGTTGGTAGAGCAAGTAGATGAGTTTGTGTATTTGGGATGTGTGTTTAGCAGGAATGGTAGATATGATAAGGATATAGAACGACGAGTGAATGCAGGAAATAGAGTGAATGAGGCTCTACACTCTATTGTGAAAAGTCAGAATGTGTCCAAAAAGGCACAATGCTGTGTTAGTACCTACTTTAATGTATGGTAGGGAAAGTTGGGTGTCGCAGAAGAAGCACGAGAGTAGAATAAATGCTGTAGAAATGCGGTCATTAAGGAGTATGTTATGGATGAATCTGAATGACAGAGTGAGAAATTGTTTAATAAGAGAAGAGTGTGGTTTGCAAGATGATGTTGTGACCAGGATTAAGAAAGGAATGCTTCGGTGGTTTGGTCATGTAGAAAGAATGAATGAGGAAAGAGTGACAAAGCAAATTTATGTTGCAGAGGTGCACGGCAGAGGCGGGAAGGGTCGCCTTAGGCGAAAGTTTATCGACCAAATTGGCGATATATTGAAAATGGGCCAAATCAAGAGTACCTTTAACCGACGAGCGTGTATGCGTAGGTAGGATGTGGAGGAAGCGAGAGAGGTGTGTCAGGATCGTGCCAAATGGAAATCCATAGTCTCTGCCTACCCCTCTGGGTGAGAGGCGTGAGTGTTTATTATTTTATGTTTTAACATTTATTTCTCCCGACAACAACCCCAAAATCCCGACATTTTCAAATTTTGTCCAGATATTTTGGTCTTCCGATCTGGCAACCCTACTCACCATACGAAACACAGCTGTGTCAAGCTGCCAGTTTACGCTAGTATTCTGTGAGATCGTGGTCCTTCCTCGGTCGAGCCGACACATTCGTGCTACAACTATACTACTAATATGGATGCAGCATGGCTCTACTACGTATAAAATGGTTGTATGGTTCGAAGTTAGATGTCCTTATCTTTGAATTTTGCTTCTAAATATGGTTGAACAATTTGTTATTCGTTGGATGAACGAGTGACGTTAAATTTACTGAATATTGATTTTATAAATTCTGAATATTTGGTATTTCGTCTAGTGAGTGTCGTAAGAGGCGAAAATGGGAAATGCCAAAAAATCTAATGGCCAAGAAAAATGGCGGTATAACCAATGGCTTTATATATAAAATATCATTGGGTATAACCATTTCGTTGACACCAGACGGAAAATACCTATATAGATGAAAGGCAGAAGATTCAAAGGTGGAGTTTTTTTACGTGGTAAAGCCATGCTGCAGCTATATTAGTAGTAGGTATAGTTGTAGCACGAATGGATCGGCTCGACCGAAGGACCACGCTCTCACAGAATACCGTTGTAAAATAGCAGCTTAACGCTGCTGTGTTTCGTATGGTGAGTGTAGCGCACCGGATACCCTTTTTACTGGAAACGAGGCATTACAGCTTAGTCCTTACGGGTGACAACGCATCTGCATTTTGATTCGTAATCGAGAATAGATGTAGATGTCTATGACCGCAGCAATCACTTACCATCAGGTGGACCGTGCTCGTTTGTCACCCTTATCATATAAAAAAAAGTTCTAGTACTGCCGGTATCGCCAATATAGGCAGAATCATTCCCTATTCTATTTTTTGTCTGTATTAATTTTTTCTCTTCAGAATACCTGAGCTAGCTTTATGATAATATAAACATATAGCAGAATAAGCATAATAGCTTTGTCTATTATTTTAAACTTTACATGATGTGAAGGTATTATAGAGAATTCCTAAACTTATTTAGAGAATCCTAGACTTATTATATAGGATTAGAAAAGTAGTTTTTTTTTATAGGATAAGGGTGACAAACGAGCACACAGTCCACCTGATGGTAAGTGGTCGCTGTGGCCCATAGACATCTACATCTATCTTCGATTAAAAGTCAAAATGCAGATGCGTTGTCACCCATGAGGACTAAGATGGAATGCCTCGTTTCCAGTAAAAAGGGTCTCCGGTTCTCTACACTCACCATACGAAACAGCAGCGTTAAGCTGGTAATTTTACGCTGGTATTCTGTGAGAGCGTGGTCCTTCCCTGGTCGAGCCGACCCATTCGTGCTACAACCATAATATAGATGCAGCATGGCTCTACCACGTATAAAAAGTTACATAGAAAATATTTCAAAATATATTACCTGACATTGTGAGAAATAACAAGTTATGTCTTGTATTGTGATTTTGTGAAAAACTTGTTATTTTGTGAAAAATAATCAGTTATCAAAAGGGAACAAACATCATAGGGACTAACTAAAACAAGAGCTATTGATATAGTAATTATTGTCATAATAGATATATAGGTCTTCAACATGTTAGACATAATATGCACAAAGTATTATGTAGGTCCCATTAAAGGATCAATTGTTTAATTTAAAACAAAGAACGTCAATCCTTTAACAATCTGTCTTTTAGACCATTAGTTTAAATAATATTCTCGGTTTGTGTTTCCACCGCAATCTCTCCATTTTAGGTCAGGTCAATTGTGCCCTTAAGTCAGCTTGTAAAAAGGTTATAAGTTATCTCATGCATATTAATAAATAATAACATCTCCTAATGATTGCGTAAACAAACTTTAATCAATTTTAGTAGTACATATTCTGTATACTACTACTTCGAGGCCTGAGTTACCCGCTCCGAGTGAGCTTGACGAATATACTGTGGATTAGAGCTGGTGGCCTATAATCGATAATGATATATACAATTAAACAACCGTGTTATCGCATTCACTTGTGACACCTTTTTTAACGATTTCAAAAAAGGAGGAGGCTATTAATTTATATATATATATATATATATATATATATATATATATATATATATATATATATTATATATATATTATGTATGTTCGGACACAACGTCTTTGTGTATGAACCGATTTCATAGGTTTTTTTTTTATTAAAAAAAACACTAGGATTTTCTCTTGTATTATAGAGCTAGTTTAGATACATGAATTTCACAAAGGCAAACGTCCAGACTCGGAACAATTATTTATAGTCCGTACAAGTACTTGTTCCTTGCGGGATACGAACACGCAGCCTCCAGTGCCGTCACTCATTGCTAAGCACTGCGATATGAAGCCATTATTTCGTCGGTTTCTTTTTTTACTAAACAGGTAAAAAAATTGTATAAAAAGCGCGGGCGTAGGACGTAGCGGGGCGGGTGCAGAGCGTGTGCGGGGCGAACGCGGGGCCGGCGCGGAGCGGGAATGAGGCGGGCGCGTGGCGTGTGCGAAGCGTGTGCGGTTGAACGGCGATAAATGCAATTTCAAAGACTCAAATTATATGCAATAAATTTCAAAACGAATTAGACGCGGGTGCTGACACGCGTGGCGTGCGCGTAGTGGGTGCGTGTTGTCGGAACGCGCCCTAAATCTTTAAATCGTCTGCATAGAGGAGAAAATTACAGTGATCAAAACATTTATTAATATCGTTAATGAATAATACGAATAGTAGAGGGCCGAGAATGGAACCCTGCGATTCACCTGAGCTTATATCTACACATGGTGATTCGAATCCCTTAACGACTTTTTGAGTTCTGTTAGATATGTGTAAGATATTTACTATCTCCAAAAATTTCCTCGTATATGGTATACGAGGAAATTTTTGGAGATAGGCTATCTTTTCAAGGAGTATTTTATGATCCACCCTGTCAAAAGCTTTGCGAAAATCAGTGTACACGCTGTCAATCTGTTTATTTGCATCTAGTCCTTCAAAGAGGTCCGTTGTATAAATAAGAAGATTAGTAATTGTGGAACGACATTCAACGAATCCATGTTGTTGCTGTAAAATGGAGCTATGGAGACATGGGTAAATAGCTTTATGTACTAATCTTTCGCAAAGTTTCAATAGGGTAGGCAAAATAGAATTAGGCCTATAATTTTCTACGTCTTTCTTGGATCCTCCTTTACATAGAGGAACGATTCTGGCTGATTTCCAGATCTTAGGAAAGACTGTCTTGTAAACATTTACTTAATAAATAGCATATGGGTTCATCAATAGTATCAGCAGTCTGCCTCAAAAAATAGGCATTAATATTATCAACTCCAGCACCTTTATTAACATGAAGCGCTTTAATTGAGGTATGAACTTCTTCCTTTGAAATTTCTACACTACAGATTAATGCATCAGGAGTCTGACGGTCATCTATATTAATATCTTTAATTTCAAAGTTGTCTGGTACAAATGAAGGTTCGAATACTGATTGGAAAAACGTCGAAAAACACTACATACTTCAGAAGGTGAATTGGCAGTTACGTTTTTGAAGTGCATTATGTTGGGTATATCTGAATTCTTTTTACGATTATTAATGTAATATGTCCAGAAAAATGTAATATTATTTTTTATACTGTGTTCTACATGTTTAAGGTAAGCTTTATAACGCCGATCGGCAATTTCTTTAAATTGTTCTCTGTGTATAGCAAAAATACAATAATTTGATTCCGTATTATATCTTTTCATTTGTATCCAGGCTCGCTCTTTTTTCTTTAAAAATGTTAATGTTGCTTATTACCAAGGTGAGATGTCAGATGTTACACATCATATGTGACTACTGTAAGACTCGCTTGTATTTTTCTAGTTGTTTTAAGTGTGTCTTTTACATCAATTTACTAACGTTATTTTACCTGTTATATAAATCGAATAATATATTAACAAAATATTTAACAACAATTTTTTTTAATACAATTTAAAAATCATGGATCAATGGGAAAACGCAATGAAATGCAATCAAATGGAAACTGCAAATTTAGTTTCTTTGTAATAATAGAAAGAAAGCTGTAATTTTATAGTGGTCTTTATATCTGCAACACAGTGCATTGTTGCGAAGATACTTTACGTTTAGCTTGGCAATGCAGTTGCAGCAACATTGTCAATATACTCTGCAAGGAGTGGTACAAGAACATTGCACCAGAAGTGCAGAAGATACAATTTTTATAGCCCGCTTATGAGCCCTTTAAGACACATTATAGTTTTATATTTTGTGTAAATTACTATAATGTTGTTACAGTTAAAATAATATAAACTTTTTTGGTAAAGTAATGCATATTATATTTAAACTTACTCTTTGTCCAAACCATTAGATCCTGGTTTTAGCATAGCAGCTGCCATTCCTCCAGTAGCTGGAGCACCACGAGCATGACATGTACTAACAACTAATTTCATATAACTGTTTAAAAAGTGACGATCCATATTAACATATTTGTTTCTATCTGGCAAAATAAATTCCTTTCGATCTCCTACAGAAATATTATAATTAGAATAAATAAGTAAAATATTTAAATTAGCAAAAGAGATTCTGCACCCAACTTAGTAAAAACAAAATATTAAAGCCAGCTGTTGCTAAAATTTGTGTAAAAACTGATTTGTTCAAATTTTAATAACTGGGCTTGTAATTCCTTCTTATGTCAAGATCAAATACTTGCAAGCAAATAATTATTCTTTTATTATACCTTATACGTAATCAACTGGTGAATGATCATTGACCATATTTTTCCAATATTACGTTTTTTGGAGGGGTATGCAATATTTTGTTTTACAAAAATAGAATATGATTAATGATTCAAATAAATCAAGGTTGATCATAACAATATTGTGTTTAATATTGGGCAAGAAATGTGTTTCTTTAAATTTTCTAGCCGTGGTAGCCCAGTAACTATACACTTGCTGTAAATATCATAATATGCAAGCAACCAAGATCGATCCCCACAGGCACCAATGAAATTGTTAATAGAAGTTTAAGTGTCATTTTACCAAATTCATAATAGTAAAGGCATATCATGTTGCATGTCTTAAAAATTAAAAAATATATTTTGTTTTGAAGACATGCAGTCTTAAAGGACTACATGCAGTAGGGCAGCACAGCAGACACTTATTTGCCTTAAAACCCTCACAGAAATGTGTGGAGACTTATGCCTAGCAGTGGGACTGTAACTTTACTTTGCTTTAAAATTTCTATTTTACTAATAAAATTAGTTTTATGCAAACATCTTACCAAATTTTGCTATGATGGAAGCACAATAATCCCAAATGCCACAATTGAGTCCTAGAGAGTGATCCTTCAAAGCATATAGTATTTCTTCCAATTCAAATGTTGATATAATATTCTCAATTAACACACAAGCTTTTATTGATCCATGAGGTAAGCCAAGTTCATTCTGGGACCATACAAATATTTCATTCCATAAATTTGCCTCAGACGAACCTTGAACTTTGGAAAGATAAAAATAAGGACCACTATTGTTTTCATGCAATTTCTTTGCATTGTGGTACATTAAAATTCCAAAATCAACTAAAGGACCTATTGCTTCTTTGCCATCTATCTGCAAAAATAGAAAATTTTAATTCAGTCAGGTTATTCATCCTCCGAAATAAAAAGGCTTATAGCTCGATTTCAAATGGGAAAAACAAGAGGGAGGAGAGGGGGGTTCTAGAAATCTATCCTGGCAAATCTCCCTGAAAACTTGGTATCTCCACTTGATTAAAAATTCAAATGCTGACTACTAGTGCTACAGCAGAGTAGGGTATTAGCCCTCTTGGGGCAAATTATGAGACAAACCCAGATATATGGTAATTTTGTTTGTTTTTTATTTTAACATATACATGTAAGTTAATGATGCTTAAAAACTTAAAATCATAGTTTTATGAAAGTTAATAGAAGTCATAGTGATATTTTAATATTTTAATTATTATTGGGATTCAACTATACATAGTTTTACCTGAAAGATACACCTTGTTTTAGACATGAATAAATTGAATACACCTAAGTTAAACTAACCACTATCGGCTGCACCTCGCTCATTGTAACTGGATAAACTAAAATGTAGCTCCACTTTGGCTTTTAGTTGTGACATTATATTTTTTAAATAAATATTTGTGTTTAGTAAAAGTTGTGCAACTTTTAAACTTACCAGTATATCATGATCAATCATATTCCATGCTCTAGGCCTTAACATCAAGACAGGACAGGTGGTGATACTTAATGGAGCACCAGGAAGTTTACCGTTAACAACTAAATTAATATTATGGTAAGCAAGCAGTTGATTCTTCCAAGTTGGACAGTGTCCATCGTCAAAATCAACTTGAATGCCTTGAACATCAGAATTAAGGGCGGCTATAAAATGAGCAGCATTTGAAGCTGACACATCACCTAAATCTAAGTGACGATTTCTGAAATATTATTGAAGACAATCAGGGAACATACTTATTGTTGTCAGATTTTAATTTGCAGTGAATTAAATTATTAAATTTAGTTAATTTGCCTATGATACCTACTGAAGTCTATATGGAATTGGAGCCACTTTCCATATAGAATCACTTCTTTCGGATGATTTCTTAAAATCTAAACTATTTTGGGTTTGAATGGCAACATTTTTTTCAAGTCGATTTTTATAAAGATTTTCAATTTTTAAATCAAATGTTTTGTGCAACTTAGCCACAAATTCAACAGCTTCCCGACTAAAAACTGATTTCTGTATGTCTACTAACTTCGGTGGTGCAGATTGTAATAAAATAACGTTAGACATATTTACTAATGAGTAACAGAAAAAGATAATAACGTTAAATATGTTAATCCTAAAATACAACCCAATCTAATTGTCACTTCTATCATATCAAACTTTTTGGATAAATAATAAACTTTGGACTTATGTTTTGACAGTTCACAGACTGACAGAAGCAGAACACAAAAACAATTTTTTTTAATAACTGGCATCCCGGCTCTTGGTTCTAGCCCTTATCATAGTACACGGCTTCACAATGTTGATGCGTCACATTATGCAGCCCTTAGGAGATTCTGACGGCAACTTGAGCCAGCAGACAGCTGACAGTTGGCGATGGCATCTTAAGACGCCTAACAGACAGACACCTTATGTGCCGACCGCCTGCAGCAACTGTCCTCATGCTGCCGACCTGTGATTGGCCAACAATCCGTACAGATCCGTGCGACGATATTCAAGTCAATATTACTACTTTAAACCATGATAGACAAGATTTAATATATATCGAATCTTACTCATCTCTTACTAAACTACAACGCATTTTCACTTATGACTTACGTTATACATAACCTGTTGTAAAAATAAAATTAAACTTACCGATGTGCTGCAGCCTGAGGAACTTACTCGATCATTTGAAAAACTAGCATATCTCTCTCAACATGAATCTTTTCATGACGAATTAAAATTATTACAAAATAATAAGCCGTTACACTCTATAATATTTAATAAATAGCATTTTACCTTTAAGTCCGTTTCTACGCGATGGTTTAATCCGTGTGGAGGGCCGCCTCCATGAATCCTCCTACTCGTTCAAAAAACGACATTATATCTTAGTCCACGGCAAGCATCGCTTTACTCGGCTGTTGTTCGGGCGTGAGCACCGGCGCCTGCTGCATGCCGTGCCGCTGCTGCTGCTGTCTTCCGTTCGTCGCACTGTGTGGCCCGTCGCTGGCAGAGATGTCACTCGTTCCGTCTATCATCAGTGTGTCAGAAGTCGTAGGTTTGAGAAGTCGTAGAACCCTTAAAACGGGAAATTTACCTTCCGTTCGCGTAGACGCTGGATTTCTTTTTATTAGTACTGGTGTAGATTTCGCGGGACCTTTTTCTATGGTTAATCGTAAAGGTAGAGGCTGGAAATCATAACCAAATGCTACTTATGTTTATTTGCCCTACGACGAAGATTTTTATTTAAAAACTGCATCTTAACTATCATGCATTCTTCGCATGATCATTGGTGACCGCGACGTGATTATCCAATGAAGAAGTAGGGTTGGGTTTTAAATTGAGTCGCCTGAATTAGAGGATTCTGTCACTGTGGGGGGGGGGGGGGTCAAGGGAGTTTATCTGAAACACCCCCATGCGATTTTTGCTGCTGGAGCAGCGTCGAAGTATTTTTAATTATTTTTTAAAATTATTGGTAAATCACTAAATAAACGTGAAATAGATCGTATATTTAACTAAATTCTAACGTTTTTGACGTTGCATCTGTCAAAGTCATCTCAAAATGCGTAAAATGAATCGTTAGGCCGGCAGAATACAGGCGACTTACAAAGGAGAGCCGTGAAATGTTTTTTCAAAAAAGACAATCATAGTCATCCTGAGAATTTTGGTGATGCCATAGTGGAGTATTTGTGGCGGCGGAACGCAAAGATCCTTTCTTACAAATGGTGGCAGCTATAAATTACGTTTATAGATTAAAGTAATTATAAAAGTTAATATTTTGGTGTTTTATTGAGTGCAAGAGCGAGCGAAGTAAGCTCGGAATCTGCGGCACCCCGACTCGGACAGGTTAGGTTAGAAGGTGATGGCGGGGTCGACTGAGCGAGCGAAGCGAGCGAATAGACCTGTACCACTGGGTGCTTCCGAGTGCTTATTTGTTCCTGGCTCCATGACCTCCACATATCAGGCGCGAGGAGTCCGTTGTGCAAGTGGAGTAAGAGGCCGCAAAGAGCAATGCACCTAGTGTTCCTGGTGCGCCTTATCTGAGAAGGAAAAGGGGGAAGAAAAATCCTCAACTAAGGAAGGGTCCGCGCTGATGGGACCGCGTTTCCGTGGCCCTCCCAATGTGTGGCGAAGGTGGAACACCATGGAGTTTTAGTAGGTGCGAATTCGACATAATCCGTTCTTGTCCCCGCGAAGTAGGTATGCGTAGGCATTTCCTCAATTGAAACATGGAACAAAATCCGTTCTGTAGTTACGAATAAAATCATAGTTAGACCAACGTAGCGTTGATCTTGCTTTTATATGAGTAATTTATTCTTTGGTATTAAATTAATATGATACATAAGTCACGGTGTATAGTCAGTCCATAAGAGGTCAGTGGCTTTGACATAGTATTTTCGATTCATGTCTAGATGTGTTATCAATCATAAAAATATTCTTTTATCCTCATTAAAAAAAAATAGAAGACATACATAACAATTTTCATTAATTAGATTTTTATTGTATTACTAACGCCATCTGTAAGACAACTAAAAAATTACTTTAAGGCCGGCCAAATACATGCGGAATTCCGTTTCGGGATTCCGTTTCCGTAAATATATCACACATACGTTTATTTCCGTTCGGAATAACGAGGGTCAGTTGAGAGACGTTAACCATTGAGTCTAGACATTCTGCCAGCGAATAATAACGACGATTTTCTGATAGCTATTCCAGATGCAGATGTATAGATGTTCTAAAGCATATTGTAAAAGAAGAAAAAAAAATCATCAGAGACTATTTGTCGTTTTAAGTATCGAAAGGAATGTGTAAACAAAAGTAAACTTCAATTTATCCAAGATAATGAAGTAGAATATATTATATCAAATAGAAATAATTTAAAATTAAAAATTTTGTACAGCCGACTTCAATATAAGTTATTTAAGAATAACTTAAAAACTATTGGTCTGACCTTGATCAAATTCATATGGGACCACACGAGAAGTACCAGCTTTCAAATAAAAAAAGAATCATCGAAATCGGTTCACCCAGAAAAAAGTTCTGAGGTAACACACATAAAAAAAAAAACGAAAAAAAAAACATACAGTCGAATTGAGTACCGGCTCCTTTTTGGAAGTCGGCAGATAATTCATACTTAAATAGTCACAGTCCACAAATTTTAAAAAGTTGACGATCAAATATCGATTCACAAGCAAGTTTCTATTCACGCCGTACTTAGTTAAATTGCTTAGTATGCTATCAAAGCTGATCCAAGGTATGAAAGATTTCATTAGACAAACAGTACAAGAATCAAATAAGTATTCAACGGGTAATTCAAAAATTTTGATAAAAATGTGCACTGAACGTGACTACTCTGCTAAAGAAATATTTTGGATTATTATGGGTGCCTTTGTATCGATCTTCTCGACAATTTTCTTCAGTAAATTTGGGAATATCTGAAAAATGGGAACATCTAAATATGAATAAAGAAAATGGAAGTATTTATGTTTCAAATTCTTTGGTTAAATGTCAAACACGACAGCGAAATTTGAACAAAAAGACGGTTATCTCTGAAACAATAATCAGATCTAACTTGTAAAATAATGTTCTTGTTACTAGACTACATTTGATTGATACTGAATTACTGTAATACTGTTACCTTAACTAAACGTAATAATAGCCGGTGTTGATGATGATGTTCTGATTTTGACATAGACTACTAAGAGGTAGAAATGAGACCAATATATCAAAACGTAACTAATAACGTTATGTTATCAAAATATCAAATATCGATAAACCTAAGTACATAACCGTTACCACATACCATGTAAAAGTAAGTCGGAGGTTACACGCTCAATCTGGCGTCAGTTCAATCCATGATTGACGTCAGAATGACGGGAAACTGACTGTATACGCGTAGACTGATGGACTGATGGTCCAGAATGATGATTATTTAAATATTTTAATAATTTTTGTCAGTCTCGTCAGACTGATGCCAGACTGAACGTGTATTTCATAGTTATCAGTCTGATGTCAGTCACCGCTTAGACAGCGATGGAGTCGCACGCCGTGTCGCTGCGTGCGCTGACTCCCCGCCACCCCCGACGTCTCCTTCTCATTCATTAGCCCCGGAGAAAGAATTTATTTTAACTTTAGAACTTTTACCTATTCTTTGGGATAAGACGAATAATCAATACGTAAATAAATATAAGAGAATCGAGGCGCTGCAGAAATAACTAGTAATTTTGAAAAAAAAATCCCAAGCTAACATAGAAGATGTGAAAAAGAAAATTAATACTTTAAGATCAAACTATCGCCGTGAATTCTTTAATTTTTTCTTATTAATATCCATACCTAATGTGTATGCGTGTTATCGCGTAGAAGTTTTCGGTTGGACTGATCGTCAGTCTGACTTACCGTCTAATACCGCCCGTCAATCCATCATTCGGCTATCAATCTATACGTGATCAAGGTCACAGACTGAACTGACGCCGGATTGAGCGTGTAATCTCCGCCTAAAACGCAAACTGGAACGATATGCTTATCTATGACGATATGCCAACACGGCCCAAAACTAACCGATGACCTTCGTTGATAATCGTTGTTTCTAGTTCTATCGACGGCCGACGGTATCATAAATACGTATGAAAGAGATATAGCGAATATGGATTTCGTTGCGATGTTTTGGTACCACACAACTGTGCACATAGTGAAATATAATTAATTACTAAATGCAATAAGGTCGAATTTTAAATAGTTAAAATTGCCTAATTTTTAAGTTTGTGTAGTTGTGAGAGTTGTAAAATTTAAATGTTCTTTAGAACATTAGACACAAGCCTTAGATTCGTATGACCATATTATTTGGTTTAGGCAACTTTTTATTTATGTTTTGGATGGAAAGTTTAGAATTTGATTGCGAATCAGATTCTAAACTTTCCACAGCAGAGCAGTGAAGGTAAATGTTGGGGAAACGGGAGAAATTACTCTATTTTTTATGCTTCCGTCGCGTGTGCAGCCTTAATGGTTAAAGCTACACAGAAATCATGTATAACGGAAATGTTCTCCTTAAAATTATATAAAAAGTATCCCACGACAGCATATGTCTA